TTTTTTTTTTTTTTTTTTTTTTTTTTTTTTTTTTTTTTTTTTTTTGTCTATTCCTATTCTTAGATTTCATCTTTTCATGGCATCCTTGATTTCTTGGATGTTTTGGTTTGGGACTTTTCTGATTTTCTTTTTTCTTTGAGAGATGTGTCAATTATCCCAGAAATTCCTTTGTTATCCTCAGCAGGAGTGTGGGTGGGAGAGATCTGATGTCTGGCTGCTGGCATAGAGGGACCCTGATCTGGGTATGCACTTCCTCACAGAAGCACTGACTCTCAGTCCTGTGTAGGAAGCGCAGAAGGCCCGCAAACTCACTTGCAGGTGTAAGTGGTAAGCTCAGAGAGCCCACAGTTTTCTGCTCTCAGATTCGGGTCCTCTGTTTGGCGGTTAGAGTAAGGAGGCGCCCTGTACCTGGGGTTGTACACTCCCCACACCTGCTGTAGTGTGAAGGTAGAGCCTATAGGTTGCCTCTCTCAGACCCTGGAAACATCTATGGAATCCTGGATCCAATCTGTCCCAGCTCATGGGTTGTCCCCTCTAGCCCAGGAAGCCTCAAAGTCAATGCTCTGGCTTCAGCTTCCCATCCACTCACCAGTTTTGGAATTTCAGATCTTCTGACCTTCAGAACCGCTGCATACTGCTCACCACCATCTTAGAGAGACAAGTTGTATAAGTTTTAATTACTTACAACAACAGTGATAATTTAGTGGCAGAACAACCCAATGTATCTGGAAATAGATGTATCCAGACACACATGTACACAGGAAGAGAGACAAACACAGAGACACAACAGGCATATATGCATAGTAACACACATAGATACATGTAGACAAATAAGTATGCATGTGACCATATAGACACACACACATACTGATGCATCAATACAGACACACATGCACAGTGTCAACATTAGATGCCCTCTTCCCAGAGTTAGCATTATTTGTGCACAACTACTTAAAAGTGCTTTTCCATTTATATCTGTTCAGGACCCACTGTGCCAGGTTATGGAAAAGATGTAATCACACTAAGGCATTAGTGGGTGATAACATAAAGATTTTCTCCATCACCATATCCATGGATCAGGATAATATACTCAGATTTAAATGTAGGCCTGCCCAACCTTAACCAATAAGAAAAATTGTGTGTTTTCAAAGTCAATATAGAGACTATTTCTTGTCTCAAATGATAACCATACCTACTTAACATGTAGATTTGTCAAAATTTAGTTGCAGGATGGCTCAGGCAAGTAAACGCTATACAACCAGCCCTGAGAACATAAGCTCAATCTCCAGCACCCATGTTAAAACTAAAAAGGTCATGTGAGCCTAAACCCCATCATTGGCAAGGTGTAGATGGGAGGATTCTTACAGCATGCTTTATCACCCAAGTCTAATTCAAGCAACTAGCTCTAGGTTCAGTAAAAGACCTTGTCTCAAAACATTCTGTGGAAAAATATGGAAGACAGCTGTGTCAACTTCTGGCCTACACATATAAACATACACACACACACACGTGCGTACAAACATACATGCACATACAGACACATATGGATACAAACATACAAAAAAACACATGTATACAAACATACACATACATTAAAAAACCCTTGGTTTCATATGACAAAATACTGACTAAACATACCTTTCCCAAAATGAAATTAATTGGAAAAATACAAGGTGAGTGGGTCTTAGATCTTGTGGTACCAGAGTGTCAGAATTCATCAGGATAAGCTCTGCCTCTTGGTTATTTCTTTCCATCTTTGACCTCAGCTGCCATTTAATTCCCAAAGAGGAGTAATAACTTCTAGACACCTAGGTCAAGAAAGCCTCCCAGGGAAATAGACTGATTGTCCTAGGTTTTGTACCATATACCCATTCCTGGACCAATCAACTATGGCCAGAGGGTCAGGGTTCTCTGAATGGCATCCTCCACCTGAAAGTCATGAGGAGAACTGATCTGTGGAGAGAGAGATTTTGGAGCATCAAAGCAATGGATATCCGTCACACCTATTATAGACCCAAACTGGAAAATTCTAAATTACATGTGGCCAAGACTGTCCACCATATTATGAAGGCTCTGGATGTCCTCTGCCTCTCTCCTGTATTCTCCCATGCTAGTCTCTCTTGCCCAAAGTCTGTTCTCTGTCTTAGTATCTCTATCTTCCCAAAATTGTGTATGGGGTATCAGGTACTCACTCTTCTTTGGGGTCCTGTAGACTTGCTGCCTCTCATTCTTCTTCACCACTGTCTTTCTGTTAATCAATTCCTTTCTCATACAATGAAGCAGGATGTCTAACCACTGCCAAATGCCTGGCTTGGATTTTCATTGCCACCATTTATCAGCAGAGGTGACACGTTATGATTGTATCTTCTGTGAACAGCTCAATATAGGTTCTCAAGTTGAAATTTATACTCTGCTCTTTATGACCTCTTTTGCTGAAAGCATTGGATTTTTCCATTGTTTTCTTGTGTTTTTGTTATCCATAACAAGACAGTTTTACACAGAGAAGGTTTGTCTGCAGTGAATATTCCCTTAAGACATCCCTGCCCCTCTGATGGCAGCTGTCACTAGTTTATGCCTCGTGTCACTTGTTTATTTATTCACTGAGAGTAGATGAAAGGCCTTCTCTGTAGAGTATTCAAGAATATATTCCTGAGGTCGACGAGAAAATAAACATGAGGGCAGGCAATAAGCCCTGCCTATGTGTTCTAATAAAAAATTAAGGAATGAAGGACACAGTCTTCAATAAACAACTCTACTAATGTTTCCTTTTGAAAATGATCATGGGCAAAAAAATCATTTGTCTTCTAATATTTGGTTGGAATGTCAAGTCCATACTTTATTACAAAAGATGTCACAGCAAGACCTTAAGATTTATCAGCCTTGAGTAAAAATCCATCTACTTAGAAAAGGAAAACTCAGTCTGCAAGGAATCATGAGAATCCCATCCCTATGGTCTTCAGCCCAAGCCACATTCTTTTCTAGGACACTGGCTGAGGCAGAAAGGCTGTCCAGGGGGAGTGGAGCTATAGACTGGCTCCTCCTCCAAAGACAAAGGGAAGTGACTAATCGTCACCCTGTGGTTAAAAGAACAGTGATCAACCAGGAACTAGAAAGGTTGCCAAGGACCAGTATCTGTCAATAGGTTCAGATATCATTCTCAGAAATTAGGGGTTATTTCATTTGCATTCCAGGAAGGAAAACAGTCATTTAGCTCAGAAGCTGAGGTGTGGCGAACATCTGCTTTCACAATTTAGATACTTTAGCAAAGCAATTTTTTTTCTTTGAAACAGTGAGTAAAGGGGAATTTAAAAAGACTTTTTTTTTTTCCAATTCTACACCATTTTTCCACACTGCTTCTTTAGTTGGCATGGTGTTCTGCCTTGTCGCCCCTCCTTGGTGTGGTCCCTTGATCAGCTTAAGAGAAGTGTCCCTGCCTGTCTGTACCTTGTGATAATCCGGGTCTAGGACTCTTCATGGTGGCCCCCTCACCACCATGGAGAAATGGACTCATCAGTATGCAAGTATAGTGATGGCTGCGTCCACTCTTCTTTTAACAGATATCTTTGGCTCATAGTAAAAACTGGATGAATACATGTGCTCTGTGTTAGAGGAAAGCGTGGCTGTTTTCCTTTCCTTCAATGAGCAAAGAATTTCTTGAATGACACAGGGGTTTCAAAACAATCTGAAACTTGCCTTCTGTACTCTAAGAATGTATGTATGTCACTATTATCTTATGGCAGTGGTTCTTAACCTTCGTCATGCTGTGACCCTTTACCATAGTTCCTCATGTTGTGGTGTTTGCCAATCATAAAATTATTTTTGTTGCTACTTCATAACTGTAATTTTGCTACTGTTATGAATTATAATATAAATATCTGATATGTAGAAATTTTGATATGCAACCCCATGGAAAGGTCATTCAACCATCTAAAGGGGTTGTGACCCATAGGTTAAGAACCGCTCCTTTATATCATCAAGACCCTGTGTGACTACAAAAAAATGTAATAATTTCGGTGTTCATTAGCAAAGGAAATACAGATTTAACAACACCTCTGGGGAATTAGTGACCTTTTGTGGGCATTAATCATTTATAAATCTTGATTAAAAACAGAGAGGCCTCTAAACAAAAGGTCATGACTATGGAAATGGGTACCTGTGCAAAGGTCAGGAGGACAACTCTGGTTATGAGTGAGATAAAATGGTGTGCAGAGAGAAGATAAACAGGACATTTTTAAATACATATATGAAATTGTGATAGAACAAATATAACCACTTAAAAATATAAATTACTTGGAACTATAATAGTTAAAAATAAAATTCTCACAAAATTTCTAAAGTAATGCTATATCTATGTATGAGACTTGATTTTTGTGCTACAGACTGGGTTGTGTTTGGTTCATTAAGGGGGACATAGGTACACTACAATCCACCACACAGCAAACACAAAAACAGTTGAAGATTTGACAGTTTAATAAGATGTAATAAGTGCATGTGACTAGTTGTATATTAAAAATTGTCTAAGTTTAAAGAACAGACTATTACAGTGTGTCGTGAAGAGATGGGATCTTGGGATATAAAAACCCTTGGGCTTATATATGAAAATGAAAGTTTTAAAAGAATGTCCAGTGCAGAAAATTTAGAAATAAATCATTTTTAAATGCCCAGAGGCTCTGCTTCATAGAGAAATAATACTAAATACCTCTAGTAACAGAGAAAAATAAGTCCTGGAAATGAGACATACAAGAGCTTGACCAAGGTGTGTGATCTAAGGCAAGTTCTTGAGTTTCTTCAATACTCAGTTTCCTCTCCAATAAAATGGGACTGTTTTGTTCTAAATACTTGGTAAAACCAGTAAGATCAGAGGTGATAAAGTAAATAAAGAATGTCAATCAGATTTAAAAAAAAAAAAAAAAAAAAAAGCCCAAAAGAAAGTGTATCTTGTGACAATGGAATTGAGTGGGCCACTGCAGTGATTTCGGGTTTTTTTCCTCATCAATTCTCTGTGACTGGTTCTTGATAACTAAGCAAAAGAGAACTGTTGTAAGAATGTGGTAGCAGAAGGCAGGGAAGGACAAGCATATAACAAAGCCTGGAGGGTGAAAAGAAAGCTTGAAGATTTGGGCTTAGAAACTACATCTAGGAAACCAAGATTGTAGTAAAGAATTGAAAACAGTAATAACTTGATGGCCTTGTTTGATTGTCTTTCCTGGAGTCACTGCATCAACTAAGAGTCCCACAGAAGGAGATTGTAGGAGGCCTACATCAAGAAAGGAGCAGGGAGATGAAGGGGCTTTGCTGGTTTTGCAAATGATGTGAAAGGCAAGATAAGTAAACAAGGGGCAGTGGTCCACCACAACTTAAAACATAAAGCATGTACTTGTTTAACCAGTTTTACTGAACACCTTAATAACCCATTTTGAAATTAATGGCAAGTAAACATAGAAAAGTAAAACTGGAGGCACATGTAAGGGATTTCCTGTTCTAGCCTCTTCTAGCTGTTAGCATGTGCTCCAGCCAAATTGCTTCAAATTACACTTCCTGGTGCCCTTGACAGGTACCAGCTTGCTGTGTCTGGGATACAGGTCAGCAAAGAGTAATGCAACCTGAGAAGTTATTACACCCTGACATTGGGCCCACTTTGTTTTGGTTTCAAAGGTACCACACCTGAACAAGACTGGGAACTGCATTATCTTATGGCTAGTAATTGGGGTCAATAGCCACTTCCTCCTTCCTGAGTCACAATCTGCTCCCCCAAGACTCATGTCTTGATATTCAATAAATACTCAAATCCATGAACGAGAGAAGAATGAATACATGAGACCTCAACACTGAAGACAGTTTGTATGAGTAAGCTGTCCTAATTTGCCTTCTATTGCTATAGTGAAGGCACGACCAAAAGCAGCTTGGGTTGGCAAGAGTATTTGTCATCTTATAGCTTTTGCATCATAAAAGGAAGTTAGGGCAAGAACTCAAGGCGGGAACTATACCAGAGGCCATTGAGGAGTGCTGCTTAGTAGCTTACTCCTCCTGGCTTACTAACTTTTATTTCTTATAAACCCTAGGACCACCAGCCTAGGGATGGCATCATCTACTGTAGTAGGCTGGCTCCTTCCACAGCAATCAAGAAAATGCCTCCATAGAGTTTCCCACAAGCCAATCTGATGGAGGTAATTCCTCAGCTGAGGTACCCTCAGATGAGCTTGTGTCACGTTGACAAAAGAACTAATCAGCACATGAATCAAAGAATTCCCCTAAAAGATGTGGCCTTCTATCTACAAATGAAAGTTAAAAGATTATCTCTGGGACTGTCCTGCTTGTGTAGGACAGTCTTCACAGTGAGGTCTATTGCTGTGTCCTCATCCATTATCTTCCATGTACATTCCTTAAAACTTTCTCTCTGGTACCAACTTCGCCATTTAAGGCCTTGGTTGAAACAAGGCATTTTTGAGATTTACCCTCAACGGAAGATAACAGTCTTCCAGAAGCTGTATACACCTAGAAATGCACATGTGAAGTGGACAAAGTGTGCTGGGGAAGAAGGATGCTCAAACTGGCTGAGGTAAAAGGGTCTACTGGAATTTGCAAAAGAGGTAGTTAAAAATATGATAAATTAAAATTCCCCCAAAGACTGTTTTCTGGGCCATTTTTAATAGTTAAATGTCTACCCTTACCTTTTATGCATACACTACTTTCAAGTACAAATGTAGCTGGTAAAGACATCATTGCAGTGCATATTAATAGTGAGTTTATAGGTTCTACACAATATATTAGAGAATGAATTCCTTCCATCATATCTATTATAGTATGTTGTATAGGAATTTCAAGCATAGCTAAAGACAGAAAAAGGAATAAGGCTAAAAACTCAGACAGGAATCTTTCCTCCATGCATGCAAAAAATAAAATTAAATTAAAAAAAAACATAATTTAAAGAGAGATGTTTCTGGAGTCTGTGGGTCCTGAGGACAAATCTGTCTTCCTTCCTTGCTAGCTAACAGGCCAGGGAAGGCACGGCTTCTACCTATGGCTCTAATACAGAGATAGTAAATGGAACCTCCCTGAAGGTTTAATCACTAAGGAAGAGACATGTATAAAATACTTGATTATTGGCATATAATAAGCATTGAATAAAAGTTGCAGAAATCATAGCAGCAGGAGAATGAGGGGAATAAGTAGTGATGGCAATGACACCAGCAATGACCTTGGATTCCAGGGATGTGAGCTGCCATCCTCACTGTCACATACCAACCGTGAGGTGGTGAGCAGTTTATTCATATCTATGCACTTGACCGTGCTTCCTAAAGTTACTGTGGGAACTTACATTAGCACGTGTCTGGCACAGAGAAAGTATGCAAGGTAGTCAGGTCTTCCCTAAAGCCCTGCAGAGATATGCATCTTTCTCTGAAAGGAGTTTATCTCTCCCTGTGCTGTGACTGTGGTCAGTGGGACTCTCACCAAAGAGCAGCAGCTTGGGGAAAAATCAGTTCAAAGAAATAAGTTAGTTAGATGAGCTTTACCCATGAAACAGTGACCTAGAGGTTGGTGAGGTGAGCGCTGCCCCACCTGGGAAGAGAATAAAAGTTGCCGAGCATGGCTGATGTTAGATAGCCTGAGGATTACACACATCCTTTGGAAGTCCCAGAAGCTTCCCTGGAGAAACCACAGCTTGTCCTTATTGGCAAGTATGGCCACATGGTCATGAATAGAGGAACCGGTGTTGGGGATTTGAGGGATAGCTCAGCGACTAAAAGAGCATACACTGCTCTTGTAGACAGCCCAGTTTGGTTCCCGAAACCACAGCAGAAGTCTCACAGCTGGCTATCACTCCAACTCAAGGAGATACAACACCTTTTCCTGGACTCTAAGGGTACCTGCACTCACATGTAGAATAACACAGACCCATAATTCATAAATAAGAACACATATTTGTAAAAGCAGTTCTCTTGTGTCCTCTGCGCCCATCTTGGAGAGGGCAGGAAGGAACCAAGAAGACAGGTAGCAGGAGAGAGTAAGGTCAGCCCTCCACAAGGAGATGAAGTCAGAGGACCTATGAGCAGTGCCTGAAAGGAAGGAAGAGCAAGGACCCAGAAAAGGGACACAGCAGAAGGTTTGCTGCGAGCACACACAGGGGCAAAGAAAGTCAAAGTTCATCACAGCTGTGGCTGGATTCCTACAGGGTGTGGGTAATAGGGACACAGAGTTACTGTAGGATTATTATCTGCCACTCACCTCTGAAATCCAGCAAGGAGCTGAGTGGCATGGGTCAGGACCAAAGAGCACGGCTTAATCAGGAACACAAAAGCAGCTGCCAAATTACAGCATGATTTGTCATCACCTCAGGACTCACTGTTTGTCCCTGAAAGAATCAATACCTAGAGGAACAAGAGCCATATTTTTAGAAACTCCTGGATGGGTAATTTATTTCAAGTGAGTACAGAGGTTTTTTTTTGTTTTTGTTTTTTTTTTTTTTTTGTTTTGTTTTTTTATGTTGCCACCCACCACGGGTACAACGGACAGTGTATTTATACAAAGACAGAAAATGCCACCATTTCTTCGAATCAGATTGCCCCTTTGAACAGCTGTAGCTTGCAACTCTGAATGATAAATTTACTCACTCATATGCTCAAAACTCTACCCAGAAACTATTCCCACCATTGCCTTCAGCATTGCTGCCTTCTGTTTGCGTAATTTTTTTTCCATATAGATGCTATCTCCTAAAACACCGATGGGCTAGACAGAGTTGGCGATATTGGCTCCTGTTGGGGATTGCTTTGATGCTTGTATTCTGATGCTAATTCCTGGCCCTCAAGATCCAGTCATTGCCCTGATACATCTATCATTGTTGTGTAAATCTGCCTAAGACAGTATTCCTGATTAGTTAATTAAAAGGCCCTGTACCTGGGCAGGGCAGAAGGAGATGGGCATGGTTAAGCTGCCTGGGCTTTACGGACAGGAGAAACACTGGAAGGAGACAAGACAGATGGGAAGAGAGGAGGAAGGAACCATGTGGGCAGGGAGAAAGGACTCCAAGAATAGCTTGGAAAGGCCCATATGAAAAATATAAGCAAGTATTTATAAGATTATGGATGGAAGGTAGCCCAGATAGGAATAGTTAAGGCAGATGACATGGGATTCAGGCATGGGAGGCTATTGAGATAGGATAGGTGGAATTATCTACCCAGCCCAAGATGTTATAAGGCAATTATAAACTCTGACAGGTGTCTGTGTCTTATTGATTGTGATATCAGATCAAATATTACCACTGTAATCATTATAGAGCAAATAATGAACATTACATAGCCTGACATCATTTTATTTCCAACCACAAGCTCCCTTGTATAGATGAGGAAACTGAGGCTTGAGAGTCAAACACAGGATTATTCAGTGGGGACCAGAGTTGGAAAGCAATATCTTGTCATCTCTGATATCTACTGTCTTATAACTGAAACAACTTTAATAACAAGCATTTTTATAAAAGCAAAACAAATGAAAAGGATACATGTTAAATCAGGAAAGAATAAAGTATTTCTAGCTAAAAGTCTTTTTCAGGTATTCATTAAAATATTTAAATTAACATTCAAAATATTCAAGGCAGGCTGGAAAGAGAGTTCAGTAAGTAATGTGCTTGCTACATTGAGGAAAGCATGAAATGTTCACATCTGACCTCCACACACACATACATACACACGTACACACACCAAGAGAATAATCCAGATACAGGACCACAAAACTCATTTTGAAATGCAAAAAATATATATGAATATGTATACATGCATATGTATGTGGCTATTTTTAAACCTGGAAATGTATTATATGCACAGTATGTTGCCTGTGGCTGTCCCTAGTTAGCATATTTACCACCCCTTCTTTTGCTGCTGTTAGTGGTGTTTTAAGACAGTGTCTTGCCATGTAGCCAGCTTGGCACTGAACTTGTGACTCTCTCCAGCCTTAGTGTTCTGAGTGCTGGAATTACCATTAGCATGAAAAGTCCTTCTTTTCCCTTGTGTATTTTTGTGACACCAAGCATGGTAGCCACTGGCCACAATGTAACACGTCAAGTTTTAAATTTGAAAAATAATTCTACGTTAAACCAGCATATTTCACGCCCTCAGTGGCCATACTAGTGGCTTCCATACTGGATGATGCAGAATTGTCCATTATTGGGCAGCTCCAGACTACACATAAACCCAGAGCTGCCAGGGAAACATGGTCAGTACAGCCACATTCCCTTTTTTATATTTTTTTATTCTTTGTCAGTGTCATACACTTATACCATGAGTATTGATCATATCCACTCATGACTACCTCTCTCCAACTCCTCCCTAGTGCCCTCCACCCATTTTTCCTCCCAACTTCTTATGTTTATCTGCTGATATTAATAACCCCTGAGTCCAATTAGTGACACCCGTATGTGCATGGGCTGCTCCATGAGAAAGAATTTATGCCTGGTACTATAAACCTGGTCAAACCCCTAGGACTATGGAGATCACAGGCCCTAGACAAAAACCTACAGTTGTTTCTGCTTAATGTTCATGCTATCAAGCTGCATTCTGTGATGTGCCCTTGCCTAGCTTGGGTCCTCAAACCCAGACTAGGGATAACAAGGGAATGAAGAAATGGCAGAAACATGTACAGTAAAGCTGTGATGGAGTTATCTGGGCTCTCAAACGGGGAAGATGCAGCACTGTGGAAGCTCAGTGTGTCTATTATACACAACTGAACAATGCTAAGTGGGTACAATTAATACCTTATAATTAAACCAGAGGGCATGGTTATTACATGCATAAAAACAAGCAGGCAGGAATACCGTATAGAGCTGAACAAGGAGGCAGGCTTAGCTAATCATAGTATGAGTGGTCTCTGTAGGGAACCAGTCTTTAAGCCATAAACATGGGAAGGAGGCCTATGCGGAGATTTTCTACCTACACTGCCAACATTCACATTCACAGCACAGGAAGGTTTTGCCACTTCCCTGTGTCTGAGGCATTGGTCTTTCATACATCTGTGCCCAGTTCAACAGCACACGGTCACCCAGAAATTCACTTCTCTTCAATTCTAAATATTTACGTTAACTTCATAGATCTGTACTGTTCTCGGCTTTGTTCAGAGACGTTTCTTTTTGCAGTAGGTGGTGATTAGGGCTCAGAGAACTCCATAGAAGAGGGAGGTAGCAGGAAGGCGTGAGCCTATGGGTGGGAGGAGAGCGGCGAAACTGCCTTCCTTTAATCTACACCCAACTCTGCGTTCCTGTTGACTTTCTCCCCCTTGATGAGGTCTTAACTTTAACCTGACATGCTGCAAACATCACAGTGTGGCAAAGCTTGGTGGCCTCATTTGTGATGCCCGTCGCAGCCATTAGTTCTCCCTGTGTGCCTATGAAGACTAGATCCCTTTGATGCAACTGCCTCACAGGGTCTTCCTCTCTTCCACAGGAGGCGCAGTTCCAACCGGAGCATTTCCACAGTACCATTGTGTGTGAGAAGCCCAACAACCACCTCAGCAAGTTTAAGGGTTATATGTAAGTACCCAGGGCCCCTGGGCTGCTAGTAAGCAGTTTCTCTGCTGCGGAAAGTGTATTTCCTTGAATTGACCAGATAATTAAGGGTCTATATCCTGCGGTTAAAAAATGTTCAAGTTTTACAGACCTGACCTTGTGCTATAATTCACCCAACAATAAGCTGTGTGAACTGAATTGATTTACTTACCTATCTCTGTTCCTTGGTTGCCATCTTTGCAGGGTACGATTTATAATACCTATGCCACAGGACTTGTCTTCCCTAAGAATCCCTCTGCAGAGCTCAGATTAGCAAAACTGGGAAAAAAAAAAAAAAAAAAAAACTGCCCAGTGAATCATAGATGTTTATGTTAGAATTATTGTTACTCTTCAACTTTCATTCAGCCTCAGAATTTTGCTGTAATTCTGGCCCACCTCTGATCCCCGCTCTATTTGCTGTAAGGAAACACAGTAACAGTCCCAGCATGGATGTGAGTGTATGTCTAGCCTTGTGCAATGCTACACCAGTTCTCAGGGCATTTCTGCAGAATACCATCTTATGTGGTCTTTACAGCCACTCAAGGAAGTGGGGACCATGGTCTCCATGTTTCAGATGGGGAATTTTATGCTCTAGACTTCTGAACTTGCCCAGAGTTTTACAGCAGGTACCAAACATCCCTAAAGTGGTGTGTTTTCCATGTCCCTGCTTCACACAGTTCAGCTGTGTTGGGCTCAGTCCTTACCAATAGGATTCCAGTCCACTGGGATACTTCCTTCCCAGACATGTTCTCAGTCCGTGTGTGCTATCATGACCTGGCATGTGGGAGGGGGAAAGGAAGAATACAGAAGATGCACACAGTAGCCTTGAAGCAATTTACCTTTCAAATACACAGTAAGGATGGATGGAGAGAGGGAAAGAAGGATGTGAACTGGGAAAGAATTCTTTGTATGCATCTGTCAAGAAAGAAGCTGTTCATTGTCTCTGGCAAGCATAGTTCCCCTCATGCCTGAGTTGCTAGATTTGTTTGTTCCAACTCACCTGTGCATTGAACTATTCTCCATATTCTCCTCGAGAGCAGCTTCATGGCCTGGTTTTCCCCATGACTCTTTCTCCATCGAACTCATGCTATTAGCACCTTAGCCCGCCTCACTGTCAGTCAAGGCTCAGGCTTGCCTACCTCACAGGGACTTCAGACAGCACTGCCCTAGCTCCTTTTATCTTAATACCTCTTCTTTCTGGCCACTGCTCTGACCTGTCTTCCCCCACCTCCTGGCCTCAAAGAAAAGCCTTGAAAGTCCAACTAGCCAGCCTGTGGTCAACCAAAAGATCATAGAAGATTCTACCATCTGGGCCTATATTCCCAACTACATCACACAAGAAGACTTTTAGGCCAGGCACCCATAAACCAAATGTCTACTAATTTTGTTTTCCACAAGTCTCTATCGGTCTGCTTAAGTTAGGAATCCCTTGTGATTACACAGATTGGCTAGAAGATGAACAACTTCCTATGGTCTAGTTGAAGATAATAGGCTTGAGATTCTACAGTGCAACTGTTTGAGCTGGGAGAGTAGTTCAATTAGTAGAGTCTTTGTCTAGTATACACACACAAGGTCCTGAGTTCAATCCTCATAACCATATAACCTAGGGTTAGTGACATACACATGTAATTCCAGCACTTAGAAGGTGGGGGTGGAAGGATCAGAAGTACAAGGCCATCCTCAGCTACGTAACAAGTTTAAGGTCATACTTGGCTACATGAAACCTTGTCTCAATAAATAATTGATTGATTAAGTGTAGGACTGCAGTTCTCAGTCTGAGACAATATTCTTCTCCTTAATCAGGAGTCATTTGGCAATGCCTGAAGGTGGTATTAGTTGACACAGCTAGGAAGCTGTGCTACTTCGTCTACTTTTGTAGACGAAGGCCAGGAAGCATCCCAACACCCTACAATGTGCAAGCCAACCCCACAACTAGGCACTGTCTTGCCCAAATGCTAAAGCCAAGAGATAAATGCTGCATGTTGACCATGAACATCTCTGCTCACAAAGAACCTTCAATGATACAGCAGCCATTGAGACAGCTAAGCCTTTTTTCCCATCTATTCAAAAAAGGACATGGTGAGTAAGAGAAGCTGGCTCTCCCCTGAGCTGCCACCTCAGGATGTCATAGACTACACATTGCTAAAAGTTTGTCACCTGCAATCCAGAACCCTAAGATGTCGAATATACTAGGTTGTATGGCCTTGGGGGGCGGGGGGAAACACCTCAGCCTCTGTGAGCTTTAGCTTTTATAAAAGTGACCTTCTAAAGTCATGCAGAATCCAATATAATAATGGAAGTGAACACAGTTTATAAGCAGAATAAGGAATTGTTAGCATTTAAAAGGCTATTGAAGTTGGACATGGTGGCACATGGCTTTGATCTCAGTGCTTGTGAGGTTAAGAAAGGGGAGTCATAGTTCAAAGCTAGTTTGGGCTACATAATAAGACTCAAAAAAAAAAAAAAAGACAATCTTTACCAAGTATACATCTGACAGAGAACTAGTCAGTCTTTATCAGAGAAGTTTCTTTTTGTAGTAGATGGTAATTAACAGAGACCCACAACTGGACAGTGTGCAGAGAGACTTTGCAGCACTCAGCCTTAAATGAGATGTCTTTATCAAACTTTCCCCTTCAAGGCTCAGGGGCTGGGTGGAAGAAAGGGCAGAAAAATTTTTAAGAGTCAGTGTAGGGATAATTCAAAGAAAAAAGCATCTTCCAGATACAGTGAATTGGATGTACATATGGATTCATGCACAAGGCCTACAAGTTCAAAGATAAAAATGCCAGCATGGAGAATGGGAAATAGACACAGAGTTCTACTCACACAAGAAGAAGAGAAGAAGAAGAAAAAGAAGAAGAAGAAGAAGAAGAAGAAGAAGAAGAAGAAGAAGAAGAAGAAGAAGAAGAAGGAAAGAAGGAAGAAAGAAAAAGGAAAAAAGAAGACGAGGAGGAGGGAGGGGAGGAGAAGGTGGAAGGGGAGAAGGAGGAAGGGGAGGAAGAAGAAGAGGAAGGAGGAGAAGCAAGAAGAAGAGGAAGGAGGAGAAGCTGTTTGCAACCTCTCACTACTGGGAGAGGTTAAAATCAGTTTTCTTCCGTGGAGTGACACTGAGTTCATCAACTACACTTCAGGGCAGGCCCTATGCTCAAGAGTAGTTAGCCAAGGCAAAATGGAGTCCATGTTGTTTGTATTCTTTTTGGTTTGGTTTGGTTTGGTTTGGTTTGGTTTGGTTTGGATTTGTTTAATTTGGTTTGATATTTTTTGTTTTTGGTATTTGTTTTTGTATTTTGGTTTTTGTTTTTCTTTTAGAAAAATAAGGAAAGAACATGTGGAGAAGCTCTGGGAGGAGTTTGGGAAGGAAAAAGAATTTAATAAAAATATATTGTATGAAAGTATTTAAGCTAATAAATAAAAAGACAATCGTTTGATCAATCCATAGGCATATTGAATATGAGCACAGCATGAAAGGGCAAGATATTCTAGAATCAAATGCCACTTACTAGATCTATGTATTTGCCTCCACATTCCTTCCTCTAAACTAGCTATGATAGCACGACCTGGCTTATAAACGGCCTGCACTTTAATTAACAGAAAGAGTCACAGCTGCACATAGGAAAAAGAAGTATTGGCAAACCACAGGGAGAAGAAATTCAGTGTTAAGATTGTTGTTTTCCTTTCCCCTGGTGGCCCTAGAATGTTACCTTTAGAACTGCTGAAATCCCAGGGAAAAGGAATCAGGTTAGACTGCCATGCTGAAGATGATGAATAGATAGGGTCATTCTGGCACAGAAGCCTCTAACATGAAGTGGAAAGCTGAAATACCTCCTGAGGTTAAGAATCTGCCTCCTGTAGTTAGACAAAGGGTCATTGGGGCCCTCCTGAAAGGCCTCTGTACTTTCTGAGGGACTGAGCGAGGGAGGGAATATATGGAGAGAGAGACCTTGTGAGTGAGGTAGCTCAGATGTGAGATGGCTGTAACCCACCTCCTCTTGCTTTATTTTACTTCCTACATCATGATATAAACGACAGGAAACCTGGCATCTTCAAGGAACCAGGGTGCTCAGCTAATGTGGTTCTGATCCTCAGCAGCTAGGTTGGGGGGAGGGGGACTTGAACACCATCCGAGGGAGACACAGGACCAGAACTCAGAGGTCCAGAAGCCCACTCCCTGCACTTTATTCCTGCAACCAATTTGAGAGTAAAAATTTAAATCTGGGATTTTTTTTTCCAGCTGAGTTCTCCCTTTAATGTGAGTAAATGAAAAATTCCTCAGAAAAACAAAAACAGTATTCCCTTCTGATGGTCCAGACTCAGCCCAGCCTCGCAGGAGCACTGGTGAGATTCATCTGGACACAGATAGCATCCCGAAGAACAGCAGTAGCTCTGGAAAGAAGTGGGAAATGGTTTGCTTTCACTCACAGCTGCTAGTTCCATTATGCCAACCAGAAACCACATAGGGAGGCCATCGAAAAACAAGCTCTGAGCTTCACTCCTTGTTCCCAGGGAGCATCCTGACCAGACCAGGACTGGCTTTGGCAGCGAGAGTCTTCTGCTCCGAGGTTGTACCATCCGAAACACTGAGGTGGCAGCTGGCATTGTCATCTACGCAGGTGATTGTCTCAGCAGTTTCTTTTCCCAACCTGTCTTAATACTCCCCTTGCCAGCCTTTCCTCTCAGTTCCTCTTCAGAGAGTGGAAACTCACAGGGGTTCCCAGGGGCAGAGCCACGGGGACTTCCCATTTCTCTGTGCACACAGAGGCTGGGAGCCATGGGAGGGAGCTCACACTCTCCACAGAAGACATAATGAGATGCTGATTCAATACCATACATCCCACCAGATAGGGAAAGACTCAGTTCATCACCCCAATGGTGGTTTGGGGACATAAGCTTAGGCAGGTCTTCAGAATCCCCCCACAAAAGGAAACTTCTTTCATGTCTCTGTTTTCCTACTCGTGTAATAGGAAGAACATTTGTATTTGCTTTTTAGATCCCTGAGAATCAAATGGCCTGTCCCATCCCATACAAGTCACCTAGTAAAGGGAACACTTGATAAACTCCAGTTACTGGGTTTTCTTCAGTTATGATCTTAATGTTCCCTTTATCTACTGGCTCTTTATCCACCCACTCTTTATCCACACTCTGGGTGTGGAGACATTTTCATATTTCATATATTACTGTACTACACTAACTGAGGCAGAAAAATTTTAGAGAAAAGAGGTTTAATTTAGCTCACAGTGTGAGGAGGTTTAAGGACCAGACACAAGTATTGGCTCAGCTCTCGTTAGTACCCTCTTGCCTGTGTCATGTCACAATGGGGCAATCCACTCGTCACAGGGAGCTAGAGAGAGTAGAGTTTTCCAGAAAAATAGCTTTAGTGTGGAGGTATGTGCATCTCACAGCATTTATTAAGCTCATCCTACTTGCCTGGAGCTAATTAGACTCTTACTGTAGGTTAATTATGCATACACACACACATAATCCCGATCCCATTTTGCAGTTGAGATGAGAAGTTCAAGGGCAGGAGAATCCATTTGCCTAAGGTCCCACATCTCTTGGGAAGAACTCGCTGTAAGCTAAGGTCAAATGTGAGCAGAGCTGAGTCCCAACTCCAGCACCCATATTCTGTCTTGTCTTTGTTCCTGCCTAAAGAATGGAGTGGTTTCAGAGAGTGAGGCCCCCTGGGAGGTGAGCCTGAGGCAGGTAGTGGGAGATGAATGCAGCAGCCTGTGCCCTTCATATTGCCGGAGCCCCTCACAACTGTGGCAGTCTAAATCTAATTTAATAATCTGAGCTCATTCACTCCCACTGTTGTTGCTATTTTAAATCTTCGAGGCAGCTAACTCAGTAGCATTTTATGTGGAAGCATAGCTGATGAGTGAGTACCAGAGTGACAGATTCTGGCTCTACCACCTGAGACACAAAGAAATAAAGAAACGAGCAGGGAAACGGCTGGGCCCAAGCTCAGTCAGACTGCAGGACCTTTGCACTTGCATTTCTTTCCATCTAAATCTCTCCTCCCTAACTCTTCTTTCACTCTTAAGTGTCCCTTTCTCTGAAAAGCTCTTGCTGATCTCTCTGACTACCATCTTGTGTCCACCTTAGCCCTGTGGTTACTGTTGTTAGTCGCCCTGTGGGACTTGTTCATAGCTGTACTGATTTTGTGTCTCTGCCAGACTGTGAGCCACCTAATTATCATTGTCCCCTGACTCTTAGCCTGAAGCAGTCAGGAGATCACATTCTATGCAGATTAGGAAAGGATCCCTTCCTCCAGACAGCACTGTCATACCAACCACGCAAATGTGGGGCACCTAAAATAGGGGTACTCTTTGCACTCACGCAGTCTGCATCGCATGGCATTGAAGCTCTGGTGCTGTCCACCACAGCACCTGGCGGGTTGAGGATGCTCAGTGAATGGGTCCTGCTGACTATGTGAGGCCTTGACCATGTGTTCTGAAGCCAGATGGATTCAACTTAGCAAGTAAAACCTTGCTTTTATCAAATAAAACCTGTGGAAGCCAAGAAACTGATTTTCCCAATTTTCTCTCAAAGGCCATGAGACAAAAGCCATGCTGAACAACAATGGCCCCCGCTACAAACGCAGCAAAATTGAGCGGCGCATCAACACAGACATATTCTTCTGCATCGGCCTTCTCTTCCTCATGTGCCTCATTGGAGCTATAGGTAGGGGATGTTCTGCAAAAAGGATGTTCCTTTGGGCGAATCACTAATTCTGAGCTTTAGTTTCCTGAAAGAAAAATCAAATCTTCACTGCCTATTTTACTGGGGTACTGATGAAAGTTCCCTGGTAGTGTGTGCATTCTTAAATATTAGCAATACTGTCAATCATTGGTGGTTCTGGAGCACAGTGAAGCAGGGAACTCTGCGCAGAGAAAGACAGTTCTTAGTTACATGGGCGGCACATGAGCGCACAGAGGTGGGGAGTACCATGTCTGTAGACAGACAGCAGTTGGGTGGCTATCTAGTGTGTAGAAGCAAGAGCAAGCTTCAGAAGTCATAGAAAGGAGTGAGCTAGAGCCATTTAAGGTGATCTTCAAAGCAGAGACCAGCAAGAGTCCTCCACCGAGCTCTTACCCACTATTTTAAATCTATGGATGTTTCACAGAATGTTTAAGGAGACCCCATAATGAGTCAGGGAAGATCAAGAGAAAAATTATGAGCTCAGACGTGTCTAATGGCCCTGACCCAAGGAGCAGCAATAATATCTGTTGTCATTTTTTTTCTGAAATTATAACCATCGCTTTATTTTAGAAGATAGTGTCTAAAAGGCAAAGACAGAGACAGAGAGAGAGCTATCTAGTGTGTTAGTTTAGAGAGGAGGTGGGGCTCGTGTCAGGGTGGCCAGGAGTGTTATTGAATGCATCTTTCAGGTGAGTCTACCAGCTGTGCCTGAGTGAGTGGCTCACAGCTGGAAAGGCAGCAAAGGAGTACAGAGAAGACCCTAGCAAGGACACAGCCATTCCTACCCGCCCCCATGTGGCCACAGGAACTATGCCTCCATATTGAGTAAATTTTTGGGGCACACAAGAACTGAAAGGACATTTGAGATCACTATGTCTCCAGGGGGAAAAAAGAAAGTTAATGATTACATGGCCACACAAAGATAAGGCACAGGTTACCCAGAACTGGCTCTGCACGTTCTCCAAAATGATAAAGAAAGAACATTAATGGAAAAGGAGGGATTTTTTTTTCCATTGCAAATAGCAAATTTTCTAAAATAGGACTCTTTTCCCCCTCATTAAAGCATAGCCCTTGAGGAGAAAGTTCTCCAATGACAACTCTTATTCCATGGTTCCCTACCAAATGTTCTCTTTGTTTTGATAACAAGGTGTGTCTTCTTGCTTACCCTCTTGATACATATATATGTGCCTGGGCTCCAAGACCCCCAAGGCCTCCTGTTTTACTTTATAGCTACTTTGCATTCATACTACAGTGGTCCTTTCTCTGCACATGTCCTGTGTACTACACTATTACCATTAAATTATAGCATGTCTGTAATTCCTCTTTTTTCCAAAGTGGCAATGAAGAATTTGGCCCAGCCTCAGAGGGGAAAGGAGTGCTTTGGACAGGATGACATATTCTTTATCTGAACTACACTCTGTAGTTCATGCCCTGAAAATGAGAACATTTGTTTCGGCTAGGATTTATTCCACATCACAGTCCATTACTGAGGGAAGTCAGGGCAGAAATCTGGAGGTAGAAACTGAAGCAGAAGCCTTGGGTGAGTGCCGCTTACTGCCTTCTTCCTCATGGCTTGCTTGGGCTGCTCTCTTATACCACCCAGGACCACCTGCCCAGGGATGACTCACCTCAGAAAGCTGGTCCCTTCCACATCAGTCATCAATCAAGAAAATGTGCCACAAATTTGTCCATAGGCCAATCTTGTAGGGGAAATTTCTCAATTGAGGTTCCCTTTTCCTTGTATTAAAGCTAACGGAAAACTAGCCGGCATGGAATTCTACACAATGGGTTATTCCAGTTTTACAAGAACACTATAAAATAGCTATTACTAATTAACAGACAAGGACATGTCCAGCAGGTGCTGGATATTGCTCATCTTGCATAATCCTGTTACAATGGGTGTTATCTCCCCTTTAGCAAATAAGGAAACAGTTCATAGTGTATTCGGTGTGAGTTCTGTGAACTCTCATGGCATTCCACACTTTAGCACACTCAACCTCATTGACTTTTAAGGTCATAGTCCTTTGTTTCATGAGAATTACTCAAGAAAAAAAAAACGGGACTGATACAACTAATAATTATTGAATATAGACAGGAAAAGTGGAAAGAGATGGGTGATTAGGTAGATGAATGGATGAAGAAATGGGTAGACAGGACAAGCAAAACTGGCAGACAGATGTGTTAAGAATGCTTAACCACACACTTCTTACAATGACTGAAAAGTATATGTTCCATTATCTTTCCAACCCTATGTGATAAGAGTTTATCAAAATTCAGGTAATCTTCATACTAATCTCTACCAGTAAAGGCAGACCTAGCATCTACTCTTCCATCAAGGGATTGAAGAGTGAAGAAGTGGGTGCATGAAGGATCACTGTCAAGATAAAGGAAAAGAGACGGAGGAAAAGGCGAGAGACTGTGGTCATGTAGAATAAGAATGGGCTCTTCTCGGGATATTCTGTGGAAGAGTGGGATGAAGAATAATAGAGTGCCCGAGAGACCAAAGACACCATAAAAAGACATACAGAGTCAAGTAACCTAGGCCCATGAGGGTTCACAGAGAATGAACCACCAACCAAAGAGCATCCATGGGCTGGACCTCGGCCCCCTACACATATGTCGCACATGTACATCATAGTCATCATGTGGGTCCCCTAACAATGGGAGTACGGGCTGTCTCTGACTCCGTTGCCTGCGGCTGGGATCCCTTTCCCCTAGCTGGACTTCCTTGTCAGGCCCCTGTGGGAAAGGATGCACTTCGTCCTGCTATGACTTGAAGTTCCCTGGGTGAATTGATACCCCTTGGAGGCCTCCCCTTCTCTGAGAAAAAGGAGAGGGAGAGAAGGGGGTGTGAGGGTGGGACTGGGAGGAGAGGAGGAAGGAGGCTCTGATCAGACTGTAAAGAGAAATAAATTAATAAATAAATGAAAAAGAATTTTAAAAAAGAATGGGTTCTTCAAATACCCACCCATGTCCAGAAACAGGTTATGGGTGCCTGGCCAAACTAAAGACTAGTAGAAGTTTTGTCTCATGACTTGTTTTGCTTCTTCTCAGGTCACAGCCTCTGGAATGGTACCTTTAAAGAGCATCCTCCCTTTGATGTGCCAGATGCTGATGGGAACTTTCTTTCTATTGCCCTTGGAGGATTCTATATGTTCCTCACAATGATCATTCTGTTCCAGGTAGGAGCTCTCTAACCTCTAGAGCTTTGCAAAATAAATAAAAATAAGTGCTAGCCTCAGAAAAGAGTAATGAGGACAAGATGGAAAGATCATCATTGCTTTCTGGTGCATCTACCAAGTTTTCACATGGAAGCTGATGTCAGGACAACTCCTCAGATAGCTGTAGAAGAAGGTTTAAAGGGTCAGATCGGAAGAGTCACCCATGTGTATGTACCTTTGCCAGACATAGAACAGGAAAAGCACTAAAACCCAAGACCGAAGGAAGATTAAATAGCACAAGGATCTACCAGGATTCTCCATCCCCAAGCATTGGAAACAGAAAAACTTCTCAAGTTAGTGTTCTAGTTGATGACAGAGCACAAAGTAGATGAGAAAAAAAAAATAGGGCTATAAAATATGTAATAAGAGATGAAGAGATGATTTTCTTTAAATATTTGTGTTCTATAAGAAAACACAGCAGCTAGAAAATGGAAAGTTGCTTTTCAGTGTGGTGAAGTCTCACCTACAGTCAATGCCTTGTAGAACTTTGTTCCCTATAGATGAACCATTTTCAACCATCCATTTAACATAGCAGTTTGACCCTTCTTTTTTTTTTTTGTTTTCTTTTTTTTTTCACAAACATATATATTTATTGCATATAAATCACATAAGTACATCAATCTCCAATTTTGCCTTTAAGGTAAATGGCATTCCTGGATATGTAATGAAAAAGACAGGCATCTCTTCACTCATTTCAGTACAGTGGATGAAAATCTTAATTCCTCAGACCTTATCAGCTGCCCTTAAGTCTGTAATAAAATTACTTGGATCACCATTGTTTCTTAATGACTAAAAATGGCTTCAATACACGATGCACTGTTGTGGAAGATTGGATTATAAATGCCAATTATTTAAGTTGCAGTTTGACCCTTCTTAAAGGGAAATCAAAACACACCACTTCTCTGCAAAGAATGTACTGGTAATTCATGTCTTCTCAGAATAAAATCCAAAGTCCTTACAGAAGCCAACAAGGCTTCAAATGATCTGGACTTTGACCACATCTCATCACTGACAGTTCTCATCCTGCACTCTTCCTGTGTGATGCCTGCTCACTATCACCTCCCAGACAACCAAGTCCCTCCCACTGCCCAGAACTCTCACACTCACACCCTTCGATCTCTTTCATCTCTGCCCAAAGGTCATGTATATGAAAGAGTCCACTCAGTCTATGTCTCTGTGTCCTCTCTGATTTCCTTTCTTCTATTTCATAAGGCAACTGCCTCATATATATTTATTTTTCTGTATACTGTCACTAGAATATGAGTTCTCCATCATGCTGTCAGTTAACAGCCAGTGATGAGTGCCTGCCTCACCCCAGGGAAGTGGCATATCTTCATTTCCCCTGAGAATTTCAAGGGAGACCTGAAGTCACTGACTTGTAACTTCTCAGGAAATGCCCTGCTGTGAGCTGTCCTCGCCTTTCCATCAATGCCGCCTTTGCTACCACTGGTGAGGCTCTGGGAGCACAGATCAAGCGAGTTTCTGACACTGTGAATCCATCTCCCCTCAGGTGTTGATCCCGATCTCCTTGTACGTGTCCATTGAGCTGGTAAAGCTTGGGCAAGTCTTCCTCCTTCATAATGACCTTGACTTATATGATGAAGACACTGATTTGTCCATTCAGTGTCGAGCCCTCAACATTACAGAGGACCTGGGCCAAATCCAGTACATCTTCTCTGACAAGACGGGGACCCTGACAGAAAACAAGATGGTGTTCCGGCGTTGTACCATTGTGGGCAGCGAATATTGTCACCAAGAAAATGGTATGAGGGCCCACAAGTACCATGCTCTCTTAAGAGAATAGGAGGAAAAGGATATTCACACACCCACACACACACACCCACACACACATACACACATACACACACAGAAGTTCTGTGGCATTTTATCAGTTAATCCCCCCCTGTACAGCAATATGTTTACATCAAGGACGGGCTAAGAAGGAATATATCTTAATTGTGTAGCTAAGCAGTCATGAATCCAGGCTTAGAAATTTTTCCTGTAACATTATGGTCTGTTAGGACAGGTCTAGATCTAGGCACAGGGTCAAAGTTTGCACATTTAGAAAATGCCTTCCATTTTAACAAATGTTGGATTTTGGTTTAGAATGGGAAGATGTAAGATGTCTGAACTGTTGTTACTTTTCATGGTCTGAAGGTAGCCTATAGAACTAAGTTAGTACACACTCACACACATACATATGCACAGAGAGAAAGAGAGAGAGAGAGAGGAAAAGATATTATAGATAACCTTATCCCTTTTGCTATGGTGATCACTCACCAATTACGTGGGAGCTTCTTGTTTTTTTTAATAATGCATCATCTACTACTACAGCACACAGCTTGTCTAGTCGCTGTCACATGTTATGTTACTAAATCCACGGAACTATCCCGAGTTAGATTCAAAGCACAAGGTCACATAACTTTCTGCAATCTTGGTAGCCCAGCTACAGTTTTCTACAGACCTTTCCTGCGCTCTACCCCAAGCCCTGAAGCCCAGCATCCGCAAACCCTGGCTCAGCCAGGATATGACAAGATTTCTTTCTTGCAGCCAAACGACTGGAGATGTCAAAGGAGCTGGACTCGGATGGTGAGGAGTGGACGCAATACCAATGTCTGTCCTTCCCACCTAGATGGACCCAGGGAACAGCAACGATGAGAAGCCAAGGAGGTGCCCAGCCTCTGAGGAGGTGCCAGAGTGCCCGGGTCCCTATCCAGAGCCACTCCCGACAAAGGTCTGTGGGACGCTGGGAAACCTCACAGCCTCCTGTGGCCTTCAGCAGCTCAATAGTAAGTCCTTGCCTGTAATAATTGAATTATAACCAAATTGTAACAGAAGGTTCTAGGATATAGCAAAGCCTCTATAAACCCTGATTAGTTTTAGGGAGGGTTGGAGGTCAGCCGTGTAGCTAAGTTGAAAGAGTGCTTTCCTAGCATGCATGATAACTGGATTCCTTTCCAGCACCTCATGAACCTAGTAGGATGCTGAACACCTATAGTCCCAGCTCTTGCTATATACTGAGTTTGAGGCCAGGCTGGGCTACATAAAATCCTGTTATTAATTCTTTTAAAAAAGGCATTTAAAGCCTGTAGAGCTCTTAAAATGGCCCATCTCACCCCATGTGAAATGCATAGTGTCTGTCAACACACACAATTCTGGTTAGTTCCAAATGTTCAGCATTTGAAAACTGGGAGTTTTTTTTATCTTAAACACTAATTTATCCTCTTCTGAAAGTGGAAATAGAAACATTCCCCCATACTAATCCAGAGGTTTCCCATGGCAAAAATTGGCTCAAGTTAAGGAATCTATACCACATAAGCTGGCACAGTCCCCAGCTCCCTGGAGCCCTTCCCTCTTCCATTTATCAGTGCCATAGCTGAGAGCCAGCAGCCTCCTCATGATGCATGCTTTTCCAATTATACAGCTAAAGGAAACAAGAAATATTAGTTATATCTGTACTTTTCATAAACTAGAAAAACAAAAGGCTTATGCCTTTTAGGCTTTGTGCACTTGAAGAAAGGTGAGAGAAAAATGTTTTAGCACTAATCAAAGAGGAATTTTAAAGAGTTGGGAAGTGAAGAATATTTATATCCAAATTGCCTATCAGATTTCTTCCCTTAGGTCAGTTCCATGGCTCCAAAGTGAGAGTTCAACTTTGGTCAGACTTTCGTCTTTTTACATTTGATTTCCTCAAAGTCATTGCTAAACACCCAGGTAGCAAGTGAAAACTGACTCTAAATTCATTCCCCCAAGTTGCACAGCAGTCCCTTGAGGTCAGGGCCAAAGCCAGAGCCTTCTGGTTCCTGATCCATTCATTCCTCAGAACCACACCATCACAAATTCTATAAAAGGCCACAGGGCAGGCCTGGAAAGATGGCCAAGCAGTTAAGGGTACTTGATACTCATACAGAGGACCAGAGTTCTTTTCTCAGTACCCACAACAAGCCAACTACACCTCTACATTCAGGGTTTCTAACACCTCTTCTAAACTCTGTGGGCACCTGAAACCCACATGCACATATAAATAAAAATAAATTAAATCTTTTTTTAAAAATAAAGGAAAGAAAATGCCATGGGGAGCCACAGTCATCTCAAAGCAGAAACTGCAAATAGACCTGAAAGTACTATTGTGCTATTGTTAGATAAAGAAGATATAAAGGCAATTTCCATTGAAATTTTAATTTCTGTCACTACACACACACACACACACACACACACACACACACAAAGTTTTGTTTTGTTTTATTTTGTATTTTTTGTTTTGTTTTTGTCATATTTTAACCTAACAAGCTGTAAAAACCATTTTCCATCTGGTTTTTCTAACCAGAGCTGTGTTCTCTAACTGTGACAGCGATGGCACGCTGTGAGTCTGTATTCTGGGTCACTACATCTCTGACTTAGGGGTGAGTACAAAGCTGTGTTTCTGTTCTGGCATTATCTCAGAACACAAAATGCAGCATGAGCTAGGATAAAACAAGAAAACAGTGAGGACAAGGGTTCCTTACAAACATACAGGAGAAGGAATTTACACGTGCCCCTGGTAAAAACCATTGTAGGCTTTGTTATTTCCTTTTTTGTTTTTTCTAAGAACAGAAAATAATAGGGTACACATATTATCATATATCCACCCCCCCTGTTCTTTAATTCCACACACGCTGAACGAAACACTCTCCTAAATTTTGAGGTGATATTTTTTTCAGTTACTTGAATGAAGTCTCTTTGGACCTAGTACACACATCTTTGGCATTTCACAGTTCAAGGCATGGCAGTCATCTTATGTGCCTAATAATGACTTTCCCCAACTCCAAAGACATAAGGAGGGAAATTTGGAAGCTTTTCGGCAGCAGCGACGTAGGCCACATGATTCCCATGACTCCTTGCATAGCCTTATAAATTACAGAATCCCTGAACGAGGAAACAGAGATTCCTTTCTCTTATATTTTCATTTTATTTTATTTTAAAGACTAGTTCTTGCAATGCTGCCCAGGGTGATCTCAAACCCGTGGGCTCAAAAAAACTCTTCTAGTCAGTATAAATTTGACGGAGGGTCCTCAGTCGATGGCAATGGGTCAGACATACTAACCCCAAACTGTCTCCAGAATCTAGACTGGTTGGCAGTTTCAAAATCAAGTTCTAAATGCGTGTTGAACAATAAGGAAAGTGAATTAAGACTCACTGCCTTTGCCATGAATACAGAGAGACAGTGATGTGTTCTCTTTATGAACAACTAAGAGGGCCACTGTATAGCCAAGAACCTGATATTAGTAAAACACCCAGGTACAGGACCCAGGTTCAACTCCCGGCATCCATATGATGACTCATACCCCCCTTGCTCCAGGAGATCTAATGTCCTGTGGCCTCTGTGGTGCAGAATACATTTGGTACACATACATATATGCCAGCAAAAAAATAAAAATGAATAAAGGCTTTTAAAGATACCCACTGGCCTCTGATCCTGCACTGCCTGCTGTCAGTTTCTGAAAGATAACACTAGAAACATGGGAGGCAGCCCCAGGTAGTTCCCCAGAGGTCTGCCTTAGTCTGTTTGTGGCAGGCTTGCTTAACTTGCGCCCTTTTCCACCTGCCTTGGTGTCTTCCTCCACTTGCCTGGCTAGCATCTGGCCAGCATGAGCACATCTCAGAACCACCCCTACCCCACCCTCCTTTCAGAGCTTGCCCCAGAAACCCCCAAGGTACCGGGACTTGGCAGCAGCCTTCAAAGTTCTTAAGAGACCAGCTATTGGTTTCTCTGGCCCTTTGGGCCCAAACCAAAAATAAAATGAGAATCAATAGTAGCAGCAACAATTAAAGCTGGGTTTGCTTTTTTTTTTCTTTAGCTACCAAACACAAGGAAGCATCAGTGATTATCTCCTAATTACCTGCTATAAAACTGTGGGTTTAAGGTGGGTGATATACTTATGAAACTGGCACATCCCCAGTCAATGTTTAATAGCACTGGCAGATGGAAAATAAAATGCCTTTTGCCCTGGTCTGCAAGCAGCCAAGATTTAAGCAGAGTTCTTGTTTCCAAGAGCCACTTGCACAATGTTTCACAAAACCATCCAACCAAAGAACATCTTCCCAACCATGGGGCAGAACTAGACTGGACCCCTCCAGTCTTCTCTATCTCTCCTGCCCTGACACCTCCAGAGAAAATGTGCTAGATACAATTGAAAAGAGGTACCTAAGGGCAGCTCCTTTCTTCATGATTCCTCTGTGGAATACTCCCAGTTTCCTGCAGATTGGCAGGGCAGCCAACATAGGCCTGCTGTCCCTGTGAGGTTAGATAAGAGTCCCAATGTAAACAAGCAGACCACAATCTTTCTATAAGTAATGGGACCACATAGGGCAGGACTGTCCTTACCCTCTGAGGATGCAAATGGAAGGGCAAGAACTGTCCAAAACTTCCTTCTTGGGTAGCCACAGTGGATTTTCCTTACACTTGCCTAGCTTGCTTTAACAATCTATGTGCTGTCTGGGTGAATGACTGTGTATTCCTGGTTCTTCATCCAAACTAAATATCATCGAGACCACAACCTTAGGACAAAGACATCACCACCTTGAAAAAGAAGTCAACCTTTAGTTCCCCAGAAAGTCCTGAGTGCTTTTAAAACCAACATACAATTAGGCGTTAAAAGGAAATCAAAGGCCACATGGTGTGTCTTCCATTCTCCCTTCACCAGAGCCAAACATCCTCACAGTAGCCTTTCCAGAGGAACCTTCCTACACAGAAGCTTCTATGGAACACACATGCACAGACATACACACAAATAGATGATGATACTTTGACCAGAGGACTTTTGGACTTTGCCTTTTTTCTGTTTTCATGTGTGTGTGTGTGTGTGTGTGTGTGTGTGTGTGTGTGTGTGTGTACATGTTTGTTTGGTTTTTTTTTACCTGTGCATCCACATGGGTATACATGCATACATTTCTGTGTGTGCATGCACATGCATGCGTGGAGACCCAAGGTCATTACCAGTAATCATCCTTAATCACTCTTTTTCCTTATTCATTTCAGCAAGGTCTGTCAGTCAAACACTGGGCTTGCCGAAGTGACTACTCTACCTAAGCAGTTTGCTCTACAGATATCCTGTCTGTCTGCCAAAACCACCAGCATTTACATGAGGGCTAGGGATCTGAACTCAGGTTTTCATTCTTTCAGAGAAAGGTCTTTAACCACTGAGCCATTTTCCCAGCCCTGACTTTGCTATTTAAAAAAAAAAAATCACAAATCCTGGAGAATGCTCCCTATGTCCAGACAAACATATATAAATTCAGTAGAGCACAGCCTCATTCTCTTTTTAGTGGCTGCTGGAACTTGTTGGGTAGTTGAGCCATTGTGGGTTTATATGTGTGTGACAGGCTTTTTGCAGCATTAAGTTTTAGAGCATAACTGTAAGTTGGAGTATTTGTGCAATTTTCAGTCAACTGACTTTTCCCAAGATGTTGTGACCATTTACATGTTCCCCACCAACCAACAGAAGGGCCTGCTTCCTCCCTACTCTGTTGGCTGCATGTGAGGTTCCTATCGGCGTTTCTTTAGAATAGTCTTTCACGTATTCGGTCAGCTGGTTCATCAACATCGGTTGACATACATTCATTGGTGGGTACAGTAGCTGGATGGTGCAGATATAAAGTCTAATAGGTCGTTGGCCCTGGATTCAGGAATTTATAGCCTAATGAAGGAGCAAATGGGACACCAGTGACTACTGCTGGGACAGTAGGAACAGATGTGGTATATCAGCAGAGGGGAGCACCATCCTTCTTTTGGACTCTGGGGAGCTTCCTGGTAAAGCTAGCCCCTGAACTGGCCTTCAAGACAAGAGTGAGGGACAACGAGGGGAACTTAACCAGTGGTAGTCATCTAATCAGGAGTGCAGAAAGAATGCAAGCCATTGCAGGAGGACATGTGGGGAAACAAGATGGAGCATGTGGAGGTGCTCATCCGTAGCTCGGAAAAAAGTGCAAGTTGGTGAAGTGAGGAAGATGGAGTCACAAGAGGAGCCATGCCACAATGGGTTAACTTGCAAGCTAGGGTGTTTTATATCTACCAATGGCTTTTGTTTCGAGAAGCTGCCATCCCCAATCAATAACAGAGACAGTGCAACTTGAGTGACTTATTAAAACATATTCAAAACAGCCTAGCCAATCAGTGAGCTCCATGTTTAGTTAAGTCCCCTGTCTCAAAAAATAAGATAGGAAGCAACTAAAGAATACACCCAGCATCTAGTATGACCTCTGGCCTCCACACATGTGGATATGCACAGCTAACACACCTACTTTTCCCAGTATGGGAAGACATCCCAACCAAAAAGGAAGAACAGTCAGTGGGCAGCCACGTGGCACATATTTTTTCTGTTCAGATTGTTCTCTAGAACCAGCGGACAAGTCCTCTTGTGAGCTGGGGTAGATACATGGGTGCCCAGGCCCATTCTAGGTAGCCTGAATTCAAATCCAGTTTGAGAAGCACCAGTATAACAGTTAAGACTTCAGGAATATGGATCTGGAAGGCCTAGATTCAAGATCCTGGCACAGGATTTGAGACCTAGGACAAACTATTTCATTTCACTGAGCCTCCTTTGCCTCATAATCAAAACAGAAAATTATAGTAGCTAACAAAAATGAGATAAATGGGGGTACTTAGCAAAGGTCCTGGGTTTGTACCCATTATCAGCAAAAGTAATCTAATGATAACAGCATCCCTTGATGTGGGCCCTAAGCTCACACAGGATTTGTATGCTTCAGGTGACTGACAGTAAAAGGGAAGCCAACCAATTCAGAGCCTGGCTACCACAGAGCTCTAGCTTGGGGGAAAAAAAAAACTATAAAAGGAATCCATAAATTCCTATTTCTTTTCCTTCACAGTTGCCACCAGTGGGAGAAAGGGCTGCCATTTTCCTGTGCTCTAAATGCCAAGTTCCCAAATGCTAACAGACCACACAGAACAGTGGGCTAGCATGCTTAGCACCCTGAAGAAGCTTGCGAGGCAGTGGATGGTCAGGTGACTAGATAAAGGTTGATTGGCATCTTCTTCCAACACCTGTCTTTTATAACACACCACCATACGATCAAGTAGAAATGTATTAAAGAAGAGTTTTAATAAAGAAATGGCAAGGGCCAATGAGATGGCACGGCAGGAAAAGTTGTTTGCCACCTAGCCTGATGGCCTAAGTTTGATTCTTGGGAGCCAATAGTAGATGGAGAGAACTGACTTCCTGAAATTATTCTCTGACCTCTACTCATGGAACCCAAACACATGCACCCACACTCAAAAATTTTAAATAAAAAAAAAAAGTCAAGAGTTCATCAGTGGTAGGCAAGCAAAGCACGGCCAGAAAGGAGTCGTTCAACATTCCACATATCTGTAACCCGCAGGTCCGGGGCACGCATCAGAGACAAGCCATCCTCCGCATGGCGCTTGTAGACACAGCAGTACCTGAACACAGAACAAGTACAGGCTAAGTGGCTCTGGCTGTGTGATCAATCCATGGTGTGGTGGTTGGTGGAGGGGAAGCTGGGCTGGTCTGAACCTAGGGCAAGATATGATCGTGAGCAATTCACTTTCTGCCCCTCTGCAGGAAAATAGAGGGTTGAGCTTTGATGGCCTACAAGCTTTCTTCCTGCTCTGGGAATCTACGAAAAGGCTTAGAATCCCAATCATGCACCATCCCTCACCTCCTCCCTGCCACACACACACACACACACACACACACAGAGAGAGAGAGAAACACTTCCACAGGCAAACTCCCAATTTGCCAAGAACTCAGGTTTGCTATGAAAGCCAGTCCATGGGCATCTGGAATCCCAGGCACTAAAAACTGTATCTCTCACCAAGTCCCAAAGGCCACTTTCTTCTCATGGAGGATCTTGCCTGGTATAAGAGCAAGGAGATATTATAGAGTCAAACGACCAAGAATCAACTGAGGAAATAGCCTCCCACTTATTGTGAGAGCTTAGGTGAGTCACTAAATTTTGTGGGCATGAGTTACCTCATCTAAAATTCAGAGATAACAGCATCCAGACAATCGCAGAACTAATTGCAGGGATATATTGGGAGGATGAATGTACTGGGAACATAGGAAACGCTGCGTGGAAAGGAGCACTCATTATTATGAAAAATGGGCTCAGTGTTGGAGTAGAGTTGACTAATCAAGCTGCAAAACCTTAGACAGAGTATTAATGAATCCCTGTGCTATGACCCCAGGAAAGAAGATGAATCTGATATGTGATTTGGGTTTCACTCAGTCTTGCTAAGAGCCAGTGATTAAATCAGCACACATCTCTGGGCTTTGCTTAAGGGGAGATTACATTTATCTCCGCATGGTTGTGTGACAGTCTGGTGGGAGTCCCACAAATGGCCTGGGCTTGGGATGGTAGAGAGCACTCCATAAATGTGAGGTACTTAAAGACACACAATATTCAAATGCAGAGAAGATGGATAGCACGTATTCCAGAGTGAGACAGAGCAAATAGAAAGTTCTACAAAAAAAAAAAAAAAAAAAAGAAAAAAAAAACAAAAATATGGATCAGCTTAAACAAAAAAAGGAAAAAAAAAGGGGGGGGGAGGGTGAAGAGATTGCTCAGTGGTTAAGAGAGCTGACTGCCCTTCCAGAAGACCTGGATTCAAATCCCAGCACCCACATGGCAGCCATGGCAGCTCACAACTGTCTGTAACTCCAAGATGTGACACTCTTATATAGACATAGGTACAGGCAAAACACCAATGCACATAAAATAAAAGTAAATAAATTTCCAAAAAAAAAAAAAAAAGATTTAAAAAAAAAAAAGAAGAGAAAGAGAAAACAGGTCACTTATCACCTCCGCTTTACCCTGAAGAGTCAGGATTCTTGGCATTTTGCTAAGCAAAATTGGCAGTGCTACTTAGTATGGCTTGCCAGGTCAACAGCACCATCTATCCCATAATGAACTCAGCTGTGCCTTGGCCTACTTCCCTCTTGGCTTTATATGCCTGGAACCTGTAGACAGTGTCAATGTAGAACTTGTTTCTGTGGCTCAGAAGAGTTTGTTGTTGAGTGGGACAGTTTAACGGGCAGGTCGCTCTTCTGTGGTCATTAAGATATGATGGGTAGGAAAGGACTCTTCTATTGATGTGACCAGAGGCAGGGAAGGAGATTGTGTCCAGAATGCAACAGAGATCTCTAGGGTGTACTGGAGGAAAACCTTATAAAAGAGTGTAGGCACAGGAAGTGTTGGTGATGCTAACAGTGACGATCTGGAGATCTTTTTGGAAGTCGGAACTTGCAGGAAGAAAATGGTGTCTTAAGAACATGGCACAGTACATGTTCCCGTGAAGAGTGAGAAGAGATGAGTAGCAGTGATACTGGTATAAAGTTGGTACAAAACTACAAAATTGAGGACTCCGGGGTCCAAGCTACCGAAAGCAAGAGGATTAGGGAGCAAGTGGTGAAGAGATGCTAGATGGAAAAAAAAAAATGCCAGGGCCTGGCAATGGATAGTTCCATGAAGATGATTAACAATGAGAAATCAAACGGAAACTGAGCAGTGATCAGTGGAAGGCAGGAATGTGCTGGATGCAAGGCTGCAGAGAAGATAGAGTTATCCCCACCCTGACATGCCTACTAGGGCATGGAGCCTACTAGGAAAGAGCTCCCTTTCCAGTCCTTCCAGGAAAAGGTCTCACTTGGGTGTCTTTTTCTTCCAGGAGAAAGATGTGACTCCTGATAAGAACCTCCTGAGCAAGGTGAGAGATGCTGCCCTTTGGCTCGAGACCTCAGATACCAGACCTGCCAGGCCTTCTCATTCCACCACTGCCTCCATTGCTGACTTCTTCCTTGCCCTAACCATCTGTAACTCTGTCATGGTGTCCACAACCACTGAGCCCAGAAAGAGGGTAAGGACCAATACTGGTTGCAAATGGGGGGAAAGGATCGAGGGAAGTAGAAAGGCAAATGGGAAAGGGGAAATCTCTGAGCAGAAAAGCTTGACCGCTGGGTCCACATTGTCATCAGTCCATCACTGTGAAACTTGATCAGGCATGCCATCTTCCTAAGTCCGTTTCCCTCTTTATACGTTAAATGGGGAAAGTTACACATCAGCTGTTTGTGCAACTTTAAACCTTTGTCTATCCATCTGTGGGGCAGATACTGAGTAAATATTTATTGAGCATTTGGCTCTGTGACAGGTCCCATGATAAATGCTTTACCTATATTACTTACAACCCTGAAACTTGGTGTGGGATAGTTTTGGATTTACCAAGTGAATTCTAAGGTCTTGATAACTTGGCTAAGGAGGTATGGTTAATATGTGGTGCAAACCACCTGTGTGACTCTGGTACGGTTCCCAGCAACATCATATTACACCTGAACCTGCTTTTATATGAGTGATGAATTAATTAGCTTCTGTGTTATGTGCTTTTTTTTTTTTTTTTTGAAATAATGCAGAAATGGGCTTGTCTATATGAAGTCAAACAGTGAAAACTGCTGAGCGTAGATGGGTCTTCGGTTAGCTACAGAACCAGCCAAGCTCCCTACAAGTCACTGAGAAGAATAAAGATTTGGTGCCACTTGTGGCTATAAAACCAAAAAAACAGGGGCGGGGGTGGGGGTGGAGGATTCACTAGACTATAACTTCCTTTACCCAGAAAAGTCATCTCACGATCAGACATTTTCAGTGATTATACATGAGGCAAAAAGCATTATCTGAACAAGTAACTATCTTTGAGAAGTGCTATTTTGGGAAGGCTAGCATCCAACTTCAGTTTTCAAGTTAATGAGAAGGCTGGCACTGGCACAGAGCTCCAAGCTAAGGACTGGACGCAGACTCAGAACCGAGTCCCAGCGCTATTACCAAAACACTGAGGTATTATGGCCAATCTACTGAACATCTGGGTGCCTGGATTCCCCACCAATACTGATGGTAACCCGTCGACTTTCAGGGAAGATTAAATGTGAGGATTCACACAGAGAGAGAGCAGCTTGCTGCATAATAAGTTGAGAGAATGTGTACTCTTGAGTGCCTCACACTCATCTCCATTGTTTGTTTGTGTCTTCCACTATTCTCATAGCGGGATGCTCAGAAACTATAGGAATATGAGCACTGGCCACACCTAGAACATCAGGGTTGGAAGGAGACATCTGAGCTAACACACTGTATGGGTGGCTAGGCTGAGGTCCACAGAACACATGGGTTTTGTCTATGACTACAAAAGACCCAGATAATCCACTGATTGCGAAATAACCTTCCTGTTCTGTATAAGACAACTTGAGTGCTCAGAGTAATGTTTTCGCTTTCTGTATTCAAACACAGGTTACCACTCCGCCCTCCAACAAGGCTCTGGGGACATCCTTGGAGAAGATTCAGCAGCTCTTCCAGAGGCTGAAGCTTTTGAGCCTCAGCCAGTCATTCTCATCCACTGCCCCCTCCGACACAGATCTAGGGGAGAGTCTGGGACCTAGCATGCCTACTGCAGACTCGGATGAGAAAGATGATGCATCTGTGTGTAGCGGAGACTGTTCCACTGACGGTGGCTACAGGAGCAGCACGTGGGAGCAGGGTGACATCCTGGGGTCTGGCTCAGAGGCTTCTCTAGAGGAAGGCCTGGAGGCCCCAGCTCTCAGCCTAGATGGACCTGAGCTGTGCTACGAGGCTGAGAGCCCCGATGAGGCAGCTCTGGTGCATGCTGCCCGTGCCTACAGTTTCACTCTAGTGTCTAGGACGCCCGAGCAGGTGACTGTGCGTCTGCCACAGGGCGTCTGCCTCACCTTTGACCTCCTTTTCACACTGGGCTTTGACTCTGTCCGGAAGAGAATGTCAGTGGTGGTGAGGCACCCTCTGACAGGTGAGATCATCGTCTACACCAAGGGTGCTGACTCAGTTATCATGGACCTGCTAGAAGATCCATCCTGTGGTGAGTTCACCTTATCAGTCCCAGAAGCACAGGCACTATGAAAACAGAGGCAGTGTGGAATGGTGACCAGGAGCCCAAGCTACAAATCACTTACTCTGACATGTACCGATGGTATCTGAGTACTCGAGATGCTCTCAAAACAAAGTCCTTAGAACACACTGAATTTTCCATCAGCTCAGCTTAGAGAATTGTGATGTTCATTGGTACATTCAAGACTCTGTAGAGAAACCATTTTGCCTTCACTTTCCCCAGTTTCCCAGTTTTCACACTTATCATAGTATTCATTATCCATACCCATACCGGGCTTCTTCCTAACAAAACAGCCATTATTCATATCCTAGAGCACATGTGGTCCTTCAAGTGTTCCTCTTTGTTATCATTTTCCCCAGTGTCCACCCTCACCAAGATGGATTTTCATAAACTTTCACAGAGCCAGAACAATGTTCCAAAGTCCCTACGTATCAGTGTCCAATTTTGGAGAAGCATGAATTGGTGTGCAACCGCGTCCTGATTGCTAACAAGGAGAAGACAGTGATAGGGTTATGATTCTCCCAGGATAGTAGATCCCAGCCAAGCTTCAGATTTGCCCAGGCAGCCCAGAGCCTCCTGCATTATCAGCTGTGGATCACAGCCAAGAGGTTTGTGGGGACTGATTAGTGTTTAGAACGAGGAGGGAACTAATTAGTTCTCTTCATCCCCAGATTCTGGCAGACAAGTGAATTCAGTGCTTCTGAGTCAAGGAAGCCGCAGCACCCTGGGCAACAGAGCCACGTTACCCTGGAGATGTTTGTTTCCTCCTGCTTCACCTGATTGCTGAAATGGGTTGGAGAGGCTGCCAAGAAAAAAGCAGTCAGTCACAGCATTACTGTGCTAAGAAAGAGGCAGAGATTTGCAAGGCAAGGGGGAAAACAACATCAGGTTTAGAGTATTTGTGATGTTTGAGCATTCGGTTTGACTCTGAGGTTCCCAGCAACCTGGGGGAAAAACCCAGGGGCTCATAAGTGGTGAGCTTTAAAAAGGATGTTCCTGAAGATAAAATATTGTAAATGGTGTTCAAGCCAGGTGTTGTGGCTCACCTCTTTAATCCCAGCACTTGGGGGGTAGAGGCAGGAGTGTGTGAGTTTGAAGCCAGCCTGGTCTACAAAGTAAGTTCTAGGACATCCAGGGCTACGCAGAGAAACCCTGGCTTGAAAAAAACAAAGATAGATAGATAGGTAGATAGGTAGATAGATAGATAGATAGATAGATAGATAGATAGATAGATAGACAGACAGACAGACGGATAGATGGATAATAAATAAATAACCCATACACATAAGTAAATAGGGTTCAATTAGGCATTGCATATATACAGAACGTAGGTCATTTGAGCAATGAGAAATAATACTTGAAAAAAAGCATATATTGTATAAAAATATACTTATTGAACTTCTTTGTATTTGGTGAGATCACTATTAGAAATTATGTTTTTAGCATGGCATTGTATGAAGGAATGCGTGAGGTATCCGGATTCTTTTTTATTAATAAGAGTACTTATTTGGCTCACAGTGTCAGAAGTTCAGTTCTGACTCCATCGTTTCTGGACCTGTTACAGGCGGGACTCTATGGTGGAAGGGCACAGTGGAACACAGAGAGGGCACATCTGCACTGTGGGCTTTGTCTGTGGTGCACTTGTTCATCTGGATCTCTGCCTTCCAGATGGCACTAGCCACATTCCGGGTGACTTCCTGCTTAGTAGGGCTCCCACATGCATCTGCCTCTGAGAACTCCCGCAGGTCCACCCAGAGTATGCTTTACCACTCTTGATGAATCTCAATCCAAGGCAGGAATTCAGAGGGGCCATCCCAAACCTACCCCTTGTCATTTTGACAGCTGAGAACACTTTAAATCATCCTCTCCCAATGAAGACATGGGCACAGTCCTGACTAGTACTATATTGCTGTAGCGCGCACACAACCAGAATGCATAAACTCCTTCCTGAAAGTCTCATCAATTTCAGCACTGCTCAAAATTCTGAGTAAAAATCTCCTTAGAGACTAAAAGTAAACTCTTAAGCTTTGGACCCCATTCCAAATGGGAAGAAGAGGAAAATACCAAGAATTGTACCAAAGGAGGCAAAACCAAAGAAAGAAAGAAAAGAAAAGAAAACAAGCAAACAAACACCAAAACAAACACAAAATTTCAAACATTAAATCTCATCTTTCCTTGCTCATATCTGGCCATGACAAGCTCTAGATGCTGCTCTAGATGCTCATGAAACTATGAGAGGTATTTAAATTCTATTCACTACTGAGACTCTCTCTAAAACCTCTGTTCAGCTGGCGGTTTCAGTGCTCAAATTTACAGAGTGCTGTGGTGGTTGAGTGATGCCTGTCACAGCTTAGATTAAGAAAGTGACAGTATTATTGGTCCTGCCCCTCCCCAGCCATCCCAGCCCTAAACTAATCTTACAGTCTAATAGAGGAAAAAATAACTTCAGAAAGAAATATGCTATATAGAACTTTAACACAGGGATTTTCAACAAGGCATTGAGGTATTTTTCACACTAGAGTTAGAGGAAATGCAGAAGCTATTTTTTTTTCTTTCTGACACCATCCCTCATTTTCAAAGAAAACCTAAGTCAGCAAACCCAATGTGCTGAAGTACTCCGCTAATGAGATCCAGGTTTGCAGCTGTCTTGGGACCAAGCTTGACAAGAGCTAAAGTAGATGACAGGAAGGATGAGGGATTGTCTAAGATTCAGAGAGAGAAGTTTGCAAAGTTGGGTGGCTCTCTACTCAAGGCTGGCTTCTGAAAACACTGTGAGTCAAGGAAGACCAAAATTCCTAACTCCTGGCCTTCCACCTGGGGATAGCTTTGATTCGCTGTCCAGGTGGTTCTCCTGTAGGTAGAGGTATTTTTGAACAATATCTTAGATTACGTCCCTCCCAGGCTTTTGAAGTAAAGCTCTAAGGATCAGACAGAGTGAGGACTCATCACTATTTTTGAGAGCAATCTGTTATGACCTCTACCATGTTCCTAGGGAGAACAGGAAAGGGGGCTCCCCCTTTAAGGCTATTTTATTTAACTGGGAAGATTCTGGGCAGTTGAGGATGAAGCATTTGCCTGTGGCTTCATGGGAACCAATAACTGTTTGACAGCAGGTGACATTGATGTGGAAAAGAAGCTGAAAAGAATCCGAGCCCGGACCCAAAAACATCTGGACTTGTATGCAAGAGATGGCCTTCGAACCTTGTGCATCGCTAAGAAGGTGAGAGCTAATCATTGTAGGCGTGCATGTGTGCGTACGTGCGTGCGTGTGTGTGTGTGTGTGTGTGTGTTCACATGAAAAAAATTTAGCTTTCCAGTTTCTGTTGAGAATCTGAATCTTCAATGAATGGTACCAATCAGCATAACTATGTAGCAGCTGATCCCTATGATGAGGGTGATGGGGATGTGTGCATTCAGCTGTGTTCTGCTCTTGCCTGCAATCCCCATCATTGGCTATTGCTTTACCCTTGGTCCAGATGTGGCCATAAAGATCATTCACCTCTTCCTCTGAGATCCCTGACTTCACAGCCCCTACAAAGGATGTTGGAAAGGGGGATTTGAAGTATAGAGCAAGGCCATCTGATCAGGTATGTAATGTCTAGTAGGAATGCCACAATGGTCACGTAAGTTCTAGGTGACTAGAAGTATTTTCTCCTCTACAGAGTTCCAGGGCTGCTCATCTGATCCATAGAGATTAAATGTACTCACATTAGAACCAGGCCCATCTGGGCACAAGTTCCATCTCACTGCCTTTTGATGTGTCTTTAGGAAAGCAGCACAACTTACTATATTCTCTGGGGGTATAATTATATCCTTACCACTGCCTGCTTTCCATAAGTCTGTGTCTCTTGTGTATCCCGTTATAAAATGCATTTCTTGAATGCAAAAAACCTATCTATGGACAACATGGCGGTGCATGCCTTTAATCCTAGTACTCAGGAGGCAGAGGCAGGTAGATCTCTAGGAATTCCAAGCAAGCCAAAGCCGCATCATGAGACCCTGGCTTAAAACAAGCAGCCTGTGTCTCCTTGATTTTCCCTGTAATGCTATACAGATGGACCCAATGAATATTTGATGCTTGTGTAAAGGAATCATTCATTTATAAAAGAGAATGCAGACATTTAAATATGGCGGGCTATGCATAACACTATCCACTGCAACATGCACTCCTTGAGTCTCACCTCACATGTTACCCATCAATAAGACATCACTATCCAACAGAAGGCAACCCCCTATTCCAGTTACTTTCCAGCTCCAACAGACTCTACAGTATTGTTCTTTTTGACTATCATCTTACCGGACTAAAACACCTCACCCTCCACCAGCACATAATCTGTGGCATCTTGAGACCCTGTTTTTGTTGTTCATCTCCAGAACCCTGAGCATAGTAAAGACTTGGCAGTCTGGTGATCATGGAACATATGGACTAACTTTTCATTAATGGATTCATTCAAAATATCATTATGGAGAATTCCACATCCAATTCTCTGATTTATAGATTTATAGGAGGCCAGCAAGCCTATCAGGAAGAAAGGGAAATTCCATTTGCTAATCATTCAAGCTTATTAAATAATCATCTTCCTGTTTTGTAGGTTGTAGATGAAGAGGACTTCCAGAAGTGGGCCAGTTTCCGGCGTGAAGCTGAGGCATCCCTTGACAACCGAGAGGAGCTTCTGATGGAGACAGCCCAGCACCTGGAGAATCATCTCACCTTACTCGGTAGCTAAAAATAAGGCATCACTACACTATAAAAAAAGAGGATATCTGTGAGTTAGAAAAGGAGCTCCCGGCCAGGATTCTTATGCTGCTACAGTTTTTGTCTCAATTAGGAGCCTTCTCCAGGTTTTTCCAATATTTGGCATAATTGGGCCATGCCAGCAACCAGCCCTGTTTCCTGGGCATTCTGCAAGCATTCCTGGATTCCTTGCTGGGAAGAGTCCATGACTTTAGCTTCTCCAACAGCAAACTCCTCTGCCCATTCATATGTTTGTTGTACACCTACTGTGTGCACCAAGTAGCATGCTAGGCTTTACAGATACAACGAGAAATGGGAATCACAACCTCCACTTTCCCACAGCTCAGAATCTAGCCTGGATGATTAAGCAAGCCATATCGTCACTCATCAAGTGACAAAAGTTGGGCCAGAAGATGTAGAAATGCAATATAAATGCAAAACAGGAGGTACCAACTCATGCTGGGTCCCAAGAGGGTTTGGGAAGGTCAATAACTGAAAAGAAAAAGAAAAGTTGTTCAGGGGAAAGGGGGAGTGTTCATGAGAGAATGAAGGGACTAAATGAAAGGCGGGAAGTGGAAATGCGTAGATCTGTTTTAGCAGGACCACAGAATGCAGAGGAGAACTGGCAGAAGGTGCGAGAGGCCGGAGGATCCCAATTCATGATGGGCCATGTAAATCATATGCTAAACATTTATAGGGTGCTATAGTAAAAGCACCAGGGCTACCACTTTATAAAGGGTAGACTGATAATCCAGGGGCAGGATGAGAAGGACTGAGACTAGTTAAGAGACTGGCTGGACCTCTGTAGAAAGAAGAGCATTGCAGAGCCCCAAAGTGGAAGCTTTGCTTAGGGAAGAGAATCTCCTCCTGCCTAGGGAAAGATTCCCATGTCTTCAATCTCTTGGAGACCGCTAGGATGGAAGAGAAGCAACAGGACAGAGTTTAGGTTGAGGAGATATTTCCCAGCCACCGCCCCCCTTCTAGAAAGTCACACAAGAAGGAATTGGGGGTATATACACTGGCCACTGAGCCAAAAGCTATCTTTCATTGCTACAAGATGGTGAGTACTTTACATCTAAACGGTAGCAGCGAGATTAACTGGACAACCTTTAAACAGAAGTCTTTACTTTTTAGCGCCTTCCACCTCTTGTCCTTTGTCTTGGCTGCAGATGCCCATGTTTGTTGCCTCGTAAGTCCTGATGCTTCTAAAGCTAGACACAAGAATCATTTTTATAAGAACCAGAAGGTAGGTAGTTCAGAGTAGTATAACCATCATACAAGGCCACAGGCAATCACCCTGTCTGGGGCTACCACCACTCTCTCACCTCCTGGATGCATCTCTGCCTTCAGGGTAACACCAAGTCTCAACTACAGAAAATATTTGTCTGGCTCTCAACAGAGCCTGTTAGCTTCCCTGTCTAGGAGAGGCATTCACAACCTTCCTGTTTCATTTTCTCTTTCACACAAATAAGTGTGGTTTTCCTATCCTCTCCTTCACACAGCCTCACTGTGCTGTAAGTTGATTTGCCAAGCTCACCTTGCAAGCTAACCCTCAGAGAGAAAGATGTTTAAGCCACCACTATCTAGAGAGATAACCTATGTATTTGTACCTGAAATACAAAAGCAAACACATTTGAAGAGAGATGGGTCCCTTTCATTACCTTAAGGTGGCTGGGAAATGTGACTTGATGGCAGGATCCTATGATTAACAAAAATGCTGCATGGACTTCACACTATGTCTCAAAATATGAGTTGATGTTTTAATATGCAGCCAATGTAAGTGCTTTGCCAACATTTTACCACTCTGGATGGTTCGAAGAAACAAACCTTTGCTTCTACTCTAAGTGAAATGGTTAGCCATTAGTCTGTGGTCTGAAATGAATCTCGTTTTAAATGCAGATTGATTTGCTTCAGCACTTAGCAACTGTTTAATATATGGGTATGTATTCATCAGGGTTGAGGCAAAGCTTGAGATCATCTACAAATGATGGCACCTGCCTGTCTAATTGTGCCCATGACTAGCAATGAAGAGAAATAAGAAACCCTATTAAGTCTGCTGTGATCAGCTAGCTGCAGGGCAAAGGTGTCCATCTCATCTCTTCTATACTCATTGCCTCATGTCACTAGAGGCCACCGCCAGGTCCCCTCTGCACTCATGCTTAGCCCCCTGAGAGTCTCTCATCCCGCCTCTCCAATCTCCAATCCACTCTCTGGAATGATCTGAAAATGGAAACCAGGTGCTGTCCCTCCCCAACTTAACATCCTTTAGTAGCTTTTTTTGCTGCCAAGTAAGTTGCATTTTCCTCATGTCCCTGATATAGCCCAGAACCCCTTTTCTCTCTCTTTCACACTGCCTTCTGCCTCCTTTCTAGTCATCTCCTGCTCTGAATTCTAGACCTTCACACATGCTGATCCCCCTACCTGAAATATTCCTTTACCTCTGCCATTGATCCTCTGGGTCTGAACAGAAATGGTCCTTCATCAGCAAAACTTTTCCTTGACTTTCAAGGTAAAGCTCAGTGTCCACTCGTGTAGCACTCTGACCTTACCATGTAGCTCAATTATAAACCTTCTGGGCAGGTAGCAATTGTCCCAGTTAGGGTTGTCATTGCTGAGATGAAACACCATGACCAAAAGAAAGGTGGGGAAGAATGGATTTATTTGGCTAATGCTTCCACATCACTGGCTATCATTAAAGGAAGACAGGAACTCAAACAGGGCAGGAACCTGGAGGCTGGAGCTGATGCAGAGGCCATGGAAGAGTAATGCTTACTGGCTTGCTCTTCATGCCTTACTCAGCCTGTTTTTATGGGTTTTTTTTTTTTGGTTATTTTTTTTACAGAACCCAGAAACACCTGCTCAGCAGTGTCCCCACACAAAATAGGATAGGCTGGGCTAGGCTGGGCTAGGCTGGGCTAGGCTGGGCTGGGCTGGGCCTTCCAACATCAATCACTAATTAACAAAATACACCACAGGCTTGCCTACAGCCCAAACTTATCAGTCATTTTCCCAATTAGAATTTCCCTTCTCTCAAATGACTCTTGTCTAGGTCAAGTTCACTTAAAGTTAGCCAGCATACCAATCATCTTTATCTAATTCATGGTTGTATCCTTTGTGCACAGACAAATATTTGATAAACACTGCTTGGCTGTGTAGCACTTTGGGGAAAATAAGCAGCCACACATTTGCCGTAACTGTGCTCCCACATCTTTGGTCTTTCCAGGAGCCACTGGGATTGAAGATAGGCTCCAAGAAGGAGTTCCAGACACCATCGCCGCACTGCGAGAGGCTGGAATCCAGCTCTGGGTTTTGACAGGAGATAAACAGGAGACGGCAGTCAACATTGCATATTCCTGCAAACTGCTGGATCAGACTGACACTGTGTACTCCATTAACACAGAGAATCAGGTCAGGCCAAAGAGGGATTGAATGTTGATATACACGGCAGCCCTCAATCACCTTTCTGGATCTTGGATCTCAGAAGATCCAAAGAAGGATCTGGAAGGCAGTCATCCCAGTATCCAATTATCCATTCACATACTTAGTTTAATGGTCATTTTGATGTTGCTACTTATCAGAAAGTTTGTGTCCTACTATTTTTTTCATGTAAGGACATTGAAAACCACCAGGGTTCAGCCTCTTGACCAACAGCTTCCCCCTGCTAGTCTGCTAGTCTAGACACTACGTCTAGAATTCTGCTTTCTTGCCAGGCTAGTTCAAATCACATACACCACACCCATTTACTCAACTGTCTGTGTCTTTCTGGCTAAGATTAACCCGCCTATTGAAAGGTCCTACTTAAACTGAAGTTTCTCGAAGTTCAGATTTTCAACACCAGTATATACGTCATACAGCAGGATCTTAAATGGAATGATGTGTTAGGCTCATATGTCATGATGGAATCAGAGAGTGGGGGGAAAGGAACAAAGTCCAAAAACAGTAATTCCCCCACCATCGTAGGCTGTGGTTCGCAAAGAGTAAAGACCGTGAGAGTGCGGTGTGAAATCTACCAAAGTGTCTTCCCAGCTGTCGTACAAGTTTGTATTAGGGAGTCAGTAAGTGTAGAAAGTGATGTGAGGAATGTGAAAAGTGAGTACTGAGATGCAGACCTTGTCAAAGGGAGCAGGGGTAAGACTCAGCTGAGCTGGACAAGAAGAGCTGGTGGGAAGAGAGAGCCTGGCAGCCTAGTATGTGCCATGGGAAAGGAGGAGTGGGAAGGCAGGTGAAAGCAAGCAGAGAGGGAGAGAGACCGCTAGCCTCCCACTAGCTGAGCTAGACCCCAACATTGAAGTTTAGGAAGATTTATATTTAGTTTTATACCATGAAGAAAGAAATGTTTTTATTATGAATATATATTACATATATATATGTAATATATGAATGAATATATATGTGTCCTGGGGATATGCTCCAGTCAGTAAAGTATTTGTCTCAAAAGCATGAGAAACTGGATTCAGCCCCCAAACCTATAAAAATGGGGTGTGGATGGATGTGTATGTCTGTAATCCCAGCACTGGGGACAGGAGAATCCCTGGGACCCGCTGATCAGCCAGGTAAGCTGAATTGAGTGAGCGCATAGGTCAGTGACACCGAGACACAAGAAATACAGTGGGGAGTAGTTGAAGAAGACACTGCATACATCTCTGGTCTCCACATTCACATGTGCACATACGCACTAACTGTAAAGCGTGCCTACAGCCCTTTGATGAATCTGGAAAATCATTTACTTTCTAGCAAAGTCACATATCATGCTATAATTAAGTTACATGCTGATGGATTTTTTTTTAAGAAAATAATTATCTCTGAGTAGTGCTAGATCCTGTGCCTGCCTACCCTCCTTGTCATGTATATTTGGTCTATAAAGATTGTTTTCCTGTGGATAACTCTGAAGATTGAATATCTGGAAATCTGCAGGACAACCAGACTAAGGAAAGTAGAGTAGGCTGGCTTCAGTTTAATGAGATACCACACTCCAGGTCATTACGGATTTATTCACTGAGTTCTTAACTCCATCACCATCAACTCCTTCAGAACTATCCAGGGCTCTCTAAGACAATGGTTCTCAACCTTTCTAAAGCTTCAACCCTCTAATAACAGTTCCTCCTCGTGTTATGGTGACCTCCTCAACCACAAAATTATTTTTCTTGCTACTTCATAACTAAGTTTGCTACTGTATGAATTGCAGTGTAAGTGTCTGTTTTCTGATGGTCTTAGGCAACCCCTGTGAAAGGGTTATTCCACCTCCCAAAGGGTCATGACACACAGGTTGAGAAGTACGGCTGTAAGATTACACTTGCTTCCTCACACCCTTCTACATCCCAGGAGCCACGAATCGCGTAAGACTAGTCTTCCTCAGCCTTTTCCCAGGGAGTGAGTAGTAGATACATAAATATGTTAAACCATAAAACGAGAAGACACACTCTAAATCTCAGGTATATTTAAGCCCTAGTTTAATGTAATTACCTATTCGGTGAATATTTTCTCCAAGGGTTTTAATTTGCCTAACTAACTATAAACCTATTTAGGTCTACTAGGTCTTTTGTGTATATCTTTTTGTATATCTCTTAAAGCAATAAGCAAGTTTTATGGGGTCTGCCGAGATTTCTAGATTTTCATGTTTATAAGGGACTTACTATTCCATGATTAGAAGTGCATTTTTCAGAAGAAACTAATAATAACAAACATTGTTACTATTATTATTGACAACCCCTTTAGAGCTTCAAGTGCTCCAAATAGCATACTCCATATCTTTTGTCCTCTAATCTGCAAAGCATGGATTCAAAGTACTGATTTTACAGGCTAAGTACTTACTTAGTCCCTATATTTGTTAGCTATTGCTGCATGACAAGTTATCCCCAGAGCTTAGCAGCTGAAACAGGCCTTTGTGATCCCATGCTTCTGTGAGTTAGCGGAGCTGGCGCTTGTGGATGAAGGTCTCAGTGAGGTTACACACTACCTTTCCAGGGCTCTAAGGCCGGAAGACAGTTCAGCTGGGCAGGGTTTACCAGAAGGAAGGAACCCTGCTTCCAAGCTGACCCCCGACAGCTCCCACAGCTGTTAACAGATCTCAATTCACAGCCCTCAGGCTTTGCCACAGGCTGCTCTACAACCGGGCAGCTGGTTCCTCCCAAGGCAAGCCGCTGGGAAGACTTAAGAAAGAGCTCTGCAGTGGAAGCCAAACTTGTACAGCCTGCTTGGAGAAGTTATCTTTTGTTGTTGTTGTAAAATTCTCTTCATTGGAAGGGAGTCATTAGGTCTAGGTCACTGGGACTGGGAGGAGTCACTCCAGCACTGTCTACTGCCGGTTCCTCACAAAGTGTTAAATGTGCAGTGACTATTGTGATTAAACTTGGAAGTAAGTGGACGCAGATTTAGCTGTGAACTTCACAGCTCCAGTGACTGTGTGGTACAGCACCGGAGGAATTTATGTAAGTAGAACCAAGCCCAATATATAGCAAGAGTGACTCCATTATCTTTCTTAAGTAAATGCTGTGGCAAAACCTTATATCCCAGAACCGGTTCCTGTGGCCCCTCCAGGCTCTGTGCATGCAACAAGCACTTTAGCACCTCCTAAGGGAAGACTTGGGAAAATGAGCTGTATCTGACTCCGGAATTACTCCAGTGATTGTTAGACAGAAACCAGGAGGTCGAGCTGCCCCAGATCTGTCACTTCAGGAGTACCTTTGCAAGATCTACCCGAATCCACACATCACCTCAACTATTTCACTTAATGGTTTTATTTAAATTAATGCATTTGAATAATGCTTATTTTTATAATAGATTTTTACCATAAATGAAAGAAACTGATAGGGCTCAGGGGCTGGCTCAAAGCACAAGCGCAAGCACAGGATCAGAGTTCACATCCCCAACACCCACATGTCAAGTGGGCACAGTGCATGCCTGTAATCCCAGCACTCAGACAGTTGAGACAGGGAATCCCAGGGCATGCTGGCTAGATAGACTAGCCAAATTGACAAATTCTAGGTTTAGTGAGAGACCCTGACTTGGTAAAGTGGAGAATGATCAAGGCAGGCACCCAACATCCCTCTGGCCTCCACATTCACAAGAACACACACACTAACATACATCTACATGTTCACCAACACATATGCAAATATCCATCCACAGATGCATACATGCCACACTTGCAAATGGAAACTACAGTACGTATAACATGCTTTTAAAGTCATTTATACTATTATCTTCTGCTTTCTAAAGCTTCGTTAAAAAGTAATGTTTACAAGAGTTAAAGAGATATCAGAAGAACAGTTAGTACCAAGGTCTGATTTCATCACTGATAAAATTTAAAGTGTTAGAAAGGATTACTAATTAAAAACAACTTCCTCTCTGAAATTTAAAATAAGCATCATTTGAAAACTCATAAAAGTTACATGACAGGGTCCATCTTTAATCACAGTACTTGAAAAGGGAAACAGTGGGATCACAAGTTCAAGGCCAGTGAGAGCTGTGTCAAAAGACCATCTCAAAGAAATAGAAACAAAAATCACAGAGAACATTCTTTGAACCAGTAAGACTTTCACATCCATGGCCATTTCACACCAACATGAAAAGCACTACATAGCACAGTTCTTAAGGCCTCTATGGAACAGATCAATAGATAAACCCAGGGTGTTGGGTTTCTTTTTAAGTTAGGAAGCCACATTTGAAGAAGTAAGGATCCTGCCTCACTCCTATGTTTGGCTGACATTGAGTAAGTTACTAAGTTACTCATCGTTTCAATCTCCTCATCTCTAAATCAAGATCAAGAATACCTACAAAAATGTCTAAAGGGGCATCAGAATGGAAAGAACTGTAAGGGACAGAAAACAGTTCATATAACAGCATGAAATACTACCAGTGTCTACCAACACACTAGTGTTTTTTATCTTACACCCACCTTAACTCAGTTGCCATCTTACCGTGTAGCTTTCTCTTTTATTCCTAATTGCCTTCTCCTATCCTGGCCATTAATGTTTCAAAAATAGTATAATTTAATGTTGCTTCAAATACTGCAGAAATGTGCAATGGGCTTAGTGGAAAAATTCAAATAACCTGTATGATGGAGTTCTATAGTTATCTTACTGAAAGTAAGGGTAGAGTTTTTAACATGCAAGGTTTCTTACTAATACTATGTTATGTGACACTCTGCAGGAAACCTGCGAGTCCATCCTCAATTGTGCATTGGAAGACGCCAAGAGGTTTCATGAACCACGACAGCCAACCCGAAAGCTCTGCGGGCACCGCATGCCACCTCAGATGCCACCTATTCCCTCAGGGGCTACGGCTCATGAAGTTGGACTAGTCATTGATGGGAAGACATTGAATGCCATTTTCCAGGGAAAACTGGAAAATAAGTTCCTGGAGTTGACCCAGTACTGTCGCTCTGTGCTGTGTTGTCGCTCTACCCCACTCCAGAAGAGTATGATTGTCAAGCTGGTGCGAGACAAGTTGAACATCATGACTCTCTCCATAGGTACCCATCATGCTGGGATGGGGGTGGCACCTTGGCAGGGGTGATCTGGTCTGGGTCAGCTGTGAAAGGCAATACGCTTAGGCATTTTGTCTTGGGGCCATTGTCTTTGATAAAAGTCGCAGTCCAGATGTGGCTGTTAGGAGATGAACCAGGGGCCACTAGATTAGAGCAATGATTAAAGCTCTTAGAAATGGCCAATTAGTTCAGTAAAAATCAGATATTAGACAGAGATCACTGCAAAACAAGAGTCTTGAACTTAAAACATGAATATAGCTTTTTAAATTTTTTTCTACCAGAAATAGACAACCCAGAGAGCGCCATTCAGAAATACCATATAGTACCCTTCCAAAATCTTGAGGATAAAGGGCTGGTAGGGGTATTTCAAAATTTTTAATTTTGTAAATTTTGTAAATCCAAGGCCATTGCAAAGCATATTTTTAATCTATTCTAGTTGGCTGATGATAAATTTCTCAGAGGAGCACGAATTAATCATATCAAGCACAGATATAAAAATTTCTCACCGAGTACCTGCCAGGAATAAGAAGTCTGGTTTACAGGAAATGTTCCAGTAACTCTCCAATAGCATTTTTTATCATGGCTACCTTTCGTTCCTTATCACTGGCCTCTTCTGTCTAAATTAAATTACTTGTCATTCTCAATGGGTATCCCTCCTCACTCCCAAGTCTCCAAGCCTTTGTACAAGCAAAATACTTTGTAAAACACTCCTATCCCCATCCCTACCTACCTTGCTCTTTTTGAGGGATTCTCATTTCCCATCACACCTACTGCACATGAGCCTAATATCTTATTGTCCTTTCTGTGGACCCCTCTACAAGAGTTGGCTAGTTCCTGATTTTACAGAGGTAGGGTCTGTTTTGTTCACTATTTGATCTCATGATAAGTGCATTCCATACATGAAGTAGCTCCTCATCCCTCCTCATCCCTCAACCCACACATACAGCAACCAAGTCTCACTTTCTGTAATTTTAGTTTCCTCTGTGCCTAAGAGTAGATAATTACAGAAATCAACATTCATGTGCTTAAATAACTATTATGTTGTTCTAATTTACTATAATACTATATTATTAGTTATTGCTAGCCCTTTGGGGCATAATTTGTGAATTAAATTTTAATATCATTATATATGTATACAAAAAGTAGTCTATAGACTGTATCACTGCCTGTACTTTCAGACACACACAGGGCGTCCCAAGCAGCCCTAGCAGGTAAGAGTAACTAACTTATTCTACTTTAGAGTCATCTCTGCAGACAGGTCTAGTCTCTCTCCTTTCTTCTCTGGCATTTCAGAGATCTGAAAAACATTATGTCCTTCCCTCTAGCCTTCATGTGCAATATAAAAACTGAATTTAAAAACTAGAAGGACCAGGCACAGTGGCCTATGCCTATTACTCCCAGCACTTAAGAGATAGAGGCAGAAGGACCCAAAATTCAAAGTTATCTTCACCTACACAGAGAACTATAGGTCAGTCTGGGATATATAGCATCCTATCTCAGAAAAAAATTAAATGAACAGAAACCCTAGCAACTGCATCCCTACTTCTATATTGTGGATTAACCTCTTCTATAATTCAGATACACAATAGGCAATATCCCAGCACATATTCTCTGAAGTTAGATATTGGCTTCTCTCCCATAGCAGCAGGAACAAAACCAACAGGGCGAGAAATAGCATGATCCCACACCTCTGCTTCTCCTGGTGTGCCAACAGAAGAAGTTAAAGCTTAGGTTTATTCTGCTGTTGAGAGGATTAAAATTATGTACTGCTGTGCTATCAAGAAAAGAATCATTATAATAATGACAAACTCTACCAAGAAAGACAAATACTAGATTTTTAATTGGCATATAAATTGTATAAATTCATTGGGTACAATATTAGTGATAACATTTTAAAGCTCAATATACTTGTTGCTAAATAATTTTGGAAGAATTATTCTCTATCCTCTCCAATTCCATATTTTCTATGATTAACAATGTAAACTTAATTACAGCTTATATATGAGAAGCTACTAGAAAAAAAAAAAGTAGACCCAGGAGGAGAATATAGTCAATACTGTGTATAATAGGGGTTACCAAAGCATAGCCAACAGGCTGAGTCCAGCCTACCATATATTTTTGTATGGAAGATAATAATGGGGTTTTTTTGTATTTTTAAATGTAAGGTTTATAACTACCAGCCTTTTAGCAACAACCATTATTTTACTTTGATTTGTGACTTAAAGAGCTTATAATATTCATTTATCTGATCCTTTAGAGTTTAGCTTGCTGAGCTCTGGCTTATAAGGTAAAGCACTGAGGAAAGTTGGGCTCTGTAAGATGTCTCACTGCATAGAGCTGTAGGTAGATTCTTGAATTAATTAGAACTTCACCACATTTCAATAGTTGTAAGACAGTAGCAGTTTCTATACTTAGATACAGTACAGAACAGTATATTTGATAGTTGTGTGTGTGTGTGTGTGTGTGTGTGTGTGTGTGTGTGTGTGTGTTTATTTTCGTGGCCTTACCTCTAGTTTCATGAAATCTCAATTCACTCAATGTGGCTAATATATTTCAGCCAAAACAGTGAGAAAATCTCATTTTTCTATATTCATACAGAAAACTGAATGCCATCCATTCCTTTGGGCACTACTCAGTCTCTGACAATCTGGCTGTCCCAGAATTCTAACTATCTTGGTACGGTAGTTGGTTCAAGTCAAACTAAAATAAAGAAGGCTCTTAGGCCTTGTGTTAGCCACCTATTTCATCATTATGATAAAATATCTGACATGAACAGCTTCAAGGGTGAACTGTTTATTTGGCTCATGGTTTGGGCAGCTTCCATCCGCTTCTGGCTACACTGTGTTCTCCGGAAGTGTGAGGCAGAAGAATTTCATGGAGGAGGATCGAGGACTGTGACTCCATGGTAGAGTCTCACGTCGCATTTGTTCTAGGTCTAGCACACACACAAATTCATGGTGGAGAGAATGTCCTGGAGTAGAAGTGCCACCTCATGACAATTTAAAGCTGAGAGAGAAACAGGAAGGAGCCTGGGAGAAGACACCCTTCTAAGGCACACCCCAAGTCACCCAATTCCTCCAGCCAGGGCGCACCTCCCCGTGGCTCCCACGAATGCTGTCAAATTATAAGCCCATGAATGGCTTATTCCATTGATACAGTTGAAGCCCTCATAACACAGTGACCTCTCAGTGAGTAAATCCCCAGCTGGGGACCAATCCTTTAACACACAAGCCTTTTAGGAGACACATTATATCAAATCCCTAACAGCCCCAAAATCAGAACAGAAACACCTGAGTTCCAGAACTTCACTGGATGGAAGTTCTAAGCAAGCCCTAAGCAAGTCTCCGAATTGGTCAGAGCCTTGCTTCACTCAGCAGAATCTATTCGAATATTTGCAAAGGTGTTTCTGTAAACTGTAAAGGGCCATTCATGACACTTTGGATCACCATTGGTGGGGGAAAAGAAGCAATAAGGAGTATTCATTGAGAGATTTAAAATAAAGTGTGGTTTCTTATCCACAGTTTCAAAAAAAAAAAAAGAAAGAAAGAAAGAAAAGGAAAACTTTCAGGCCAAACAAGGTAATATCCTATTTAGGGCAATGTTGAAAGGATTCAACTGTGCAAATGAGGCCCTTCATCACTGAGCAGTTGGACCAGGTATAAAAACACTCTATGACCTTTCTCCTTTCAGGTGATGGAGCCAATGATGTAAGCATGATTCAAGCTGCTGACGTTGGCATTGGAATATCTGGGCAGGAAGGCATGCAGGTACTGTGCCCTTTAACTTGTCTCCCCCGCCCCGTGCTCCTTCATCCTTACTGTAGATTTGAGGAATAACCCCATAGTGCCGAAGAAACTTTCCTGTGAGCCTCATCACATTATTAACCTACAGTCAGGGGAGAGGGGGGGTCTTCCATGCCTCTGTATTCTCTGTCACCTAAATCCTATCACCTGGTCCTTCAAAAGGGACATTGAGGACATGTGGCTTTTTACAAAAGGCAATGGTAATTATAGTCTAAGGCTGCATAGCATATAAGCCTTTCTCTGACTTCACATATCCTTCTTGTGACCTCCATAAGGAGTGACAGATAAAGGGATATTTGACATATTTTATTGTCTCATAAATTAATTGGTGCAGTGCATAGTGTGTACCTAATTCTCTTAAAGTCCAATTGGAACAAGCATACTAAAGTAAAAAAAAAAAAAAAATTATTTGCCTGATTCAGTTGTTGTCTCAGAGGCTCACTGCCTTTGTCTGCTAACGTGGGCCTAGTCCTGGAAGCTTCTAGCCATGATAAAATCTAACCTAGGCTTAGAATGTTTTCAGGCCTCTGGGACTTACTGCTTAATAAACTCACCCTTTCTTGTTCTTTCTGAACTCATAATTCTCTGGTGCAATACAGCTATTCTGGCTCAAACTCCTCTCCCAGCTAACTTATTCAATCTGGCTTCTCTCTCAGTCCCTGAATTGTTCTGCTTGGCCTCAAACTCCAATGACCTGCCCTATTCTCCTGGCTTTTTTTCATTCCCAGGATCATTTGTTTCTCTCTCTCTCTGCAACCTGTCTCTCTATTACTGTCCCAGTAAAACTGCCTGTTCTCTTTCTCATTGCCCCTTAAATAGCTTCCCTTACCTTATGAGAGTTGGACATATCCTCTACTGTCAACTCTTTCTTTGATTTGTCACTGTCGCTGCTACTCAATTAGACATCACTTTCAAACATGGGCACTTTCTTCTACAAACTAACTTTACCTTCTTTGTTTATGATTAAAGGCATGTATCACCTGGACCTTTTCTTTTCCTTGAAATTTGCTCTACAACAGGCTGGCCTTGGCACAGATCTGCTTGCCTCTGTCTCCTGGATTAAAGGCGTGTTCATATTCCAACCAGATCACACAGACTGCTTTCCAGAACAGCCATGTTCTAAATTAACATTCCTCTACATTAAAGTGAAATACTATCCTTTCCCATTAAAACAGACCCTGTTTTGTGATTTTGAACCATCAATGATCATAGTCTGAGCACCTGAAAAGATACTGCTTAAATTTGTTACTGAGAATGAGAAAGGCAGCCATAGTTCTTTAGTACCCTTCAGGTGTTTCATATGCCAGCAATGATATACCTTATACGTTACCACATGAAATTTCAACAATAATTATATATTACAGATTGTCAATCATTTTTTCAGATAGTAAAAGTGAGGTTCAGAGAGATAAAGTAATCTGAAAAGTATACTAAGATTTCTAACAAACACATCTGAACCTCATATTCTTAAGAAACCTCTTGACTGTATCTTATTATAAATAACCCAATGACAAAATGCCCATCTTAGCACCATGTAAATGCTCCCAAACCAACAATGTCATCTGTAATTATGCCACTGGCCTGCTTGAGAGGCATCCAAGGAGGCTCAGAGATTTGAGAATCACTCGGTGAAAAGCAGTTCTCTGTTTCATCTCTAGAACAGAAACTGCCACTGGGCCTTGTTGGATAAACAGGTAGAAATAAGGGATAAGTAGAGTCCTGGCCCTTCTGCCTTTCCCTTCTTGGATTCTAGTAAAGTTTCAGTTTCCAAGAAAAGAGGGAGGATGTCAGAATCCAAAGAGCCACCCAAGTATGAGCAAATGACAAAGGATCAGTCAGGCCCTGAATGTTGCAGACCTAGAGTATGGCAGGGTCCTCTAGAGAGCTGTTTTGTGGGCACTGATGGTTGCAGGTGAAGACTGATGTCTCTGCTCTCCCTCCCAGGCTGTCATGTCCAGCGACTTTGCCATTGCCCGCTTCAGCCACCTCAAGAAGCTGCTCCTTGTGCACGGGCATTGGTGTTACTCACGGCTGGCCAGGATGGTTGTGTATTACTTCTACAAGAATGTGGTGAGTAGCCTCGGTGTGACCTGCCACCCAGGCTGGAGCTCTGGCTCCTCAGAAGAGTAGACCATTTCTGCACAAGGGAATCAGTCAGCTGACCTGGACTTAGCACCTCACTAACTGCAACTTTGGGCAACACTGTTCACATCCCCATAGGCCATAGTTTCCTCTTTAATTTTAAAACAGGAAGAGGGTAGTTAAAGCTTGCTGTGATGTTCTCACAAGAGTTGGCAACACGGTATGAAAAGCACCTGGCATACAAGGGACAACATGAATGCTTATGAAGGTAGATCCTGGGATCAGATATATGAAGTCCCAACCCAGATTTCCATATTTGGTAATGTCTCAAAACTTCTATTTCTCCATCTATAAAATGCAGGTGAAGAGAGGCTGGAAAGATAGCTCAGTGGTTAAGAGCATTCCTTGTCTGTTCTTCCAAAGGACCAGGGTTCAATTCCCAGCACCCACAAGGCAGCTCATAACTGTCTGTTAACCCCAATTCCAAGGGATCTGACACCTTCACACTAATGCACATAAAATAACTTTTAAAAAATGCAGGTGATAGTTTCTTTCTCACCCATGCTCTGAGTTGGCCAGTTCTTCATCAGTGTGGCAAAATACCTAGGATACTCAGCTTTTAATGAAGAAAGGTTTATTTTGGCTCATTCTTCTGCAGGTTTCAGTTCATGGTTGGTTGGTTCATTTATTATGGGTCTGTGGCCTGTGATAGGCTGTGTATCCTAAATAAAAGTTAGTTTCTTTCCTGATAAGACCCCAAAGCAAATACCCCAAGCAAGGCCCCAAAGCAAACACCAACAGAGGCATTAAGGCTATCAAAGGCTCTTATTTTAAAAGTCCACATTTAACAGTAACTATAAGTATATATCAAAACATATAGTTGAACTATGGGATGGAACAAGGAACCGAGTTTCCATCACCTACTTCAAGGATATTTGGTCCAAATAAAATTTGATTTAGTCTCAATTAAGGAAAAATGGACAGTTAACACTGGGGAAATAAAAGGCAAATATAGTAGTCTATAGAATTATATTGTTTTCCTCTTACTCCATTGTTCTAGGCTCTGACACAGTCTTCCTTGTTCAGGAATGAGCCTGTCTGTCCAAAGTTCAATGCGTATGCATATGCAAAAGAACAGCACAACAAAAATTATGTAAATTCAATCAACTGGCTGGCGATATTGTCTCGGCACTGTCTATGCAAACAAGTCGCTCCATTTGACTTGAAATTCATTCTGAAAATGAAAGGCAGTTTACTTGGAATTCAAAATACCCTGCTTAATTTTTTTCTTTTGCATCCAAGGAATCATTCTTTAGAATCAGCACAGCCTCTTCTCTGCGTTAAATCTGTAAAACAGAAAGAAACATCTCCAGCCAGCCATGCTCTCAAAGCTCAAATGATATTTATTTCTAGCATGTCGCCAAGCTCAAAACTGCAATACTGATGCTATATTATCTCCCAGCTGCAATTAGAGGGTGGGGAACTATGACTTCCACATCCGAAACCAATTCCAGAGGGAATTACAACCCTGCCTGCTCTGAAATTTGAACAATGAATTAATTACTGTAATGGAGCATCTAGGGAGGAAGAATGGGCACCCAATCTCAGCCATGTTGTCACGGGGTTCAGTGTGTTCCCAGTGAGAGGCAGAGACCAGAGGGGAAGTAGAAACCAGCCTCTGGGGAAAGAATATAGTCTGTGGTTTTAAATTTTCAAGATGAGCGTCAGGACAAAACAAAGATTTACTTCATCCATTCAAATTAGTATTAAATGTCTGCTGTGAGCTGGGCACCGTGCTAGCCAGTGGGAGTAGTGTGAGGACTGAGCCATGGAGAAGATTTCCTTACCATCAGATGTTCTTTCAATATTGGGACAACAAACTTCTTCCTGTAGAGACAGGCACAAATACTTTCTACTTTGTTGGCTATGGGTATCTAGACAAATCTTACTATGTAAACCAAAGATAGGACCGAGGGTCAGAAAAGGCCCAGAGTGACTGAAAACAAATAACTTTGAAAATTCAGGTGCTTGTTTCTAGCTTTCAACCAGGGTAAAGGGCAGCTGAGTATCTTAGAGTCCTGTTTTTAGAGTGGCGCTAATAACAGCATTGCTACAGTATTGATATTTATTAAAAGCATGTATTTAATGATATTAGCAATAACCTCATGTGTGGTTGAAACTAGTAATTAATAATAGGTGCTTCACATCTGACATACTAGACATCAATCAGGCTATAAAGGTATGTTTCACATGTGATAGATACAAAAGCTAAAGAATGACTTGTAGTCAGCATTAGAACCAATGATAGTACTAATGTGTTATTGTCATTAATAATAAATAGCCTCTTCCAAATAACATTGACCATGTCAGATATGGTAGCACTTAATCCCAGCACTGACACAGGAGGATTGAGAGTTCAAAGCCATATCAAGACCATGTCTTAAAAGAAAAAAAAAAATTAACCCAGCAATTAGTAAATGAGAGTGCTAATTTGTACAAAACTGCTGAGTACATTCTTATGAGAGACCCTCCCACCCCCATCGATGCCTCAGAGCTTGAACTTCTCCTTTCCTAAGGCTAAGTCTTTGGAGTATATATCAAAAATGAGTCACGTGGCATTTCTATCATGTCATTTCTGACAGCTCAGCTTTTGAGGACCCTCCATAGAGATTTCCATAGTAACTGCCCAAGTTATGTTCCCTCCAGCTGAGAACAGGCTTCCTCCTTCCTCTTCCTCCATCGTCATTTACTTTCTTGCTGACATCAGCTTAAATTCGCACTTCCCTGATAGCTGAGGATAGTGAACAATTGTATTTATTTTGAGAACTATCTGATGGGTTAATTAGCCCATTGGTTGGGTGATTATAGGTGTTTAATATTACAGTTACCTGTGCTTCCTGAGTATGAGCCCCATTTTTGATGTACAGTTGCATTACATATACTATATTTTCACAGTGGAGATGTTTTTTGTTTATTTGGTTTGGTTTTTATTTTTTGTTTAGAAGCTTTCCTGTACAGAAGCTTCTTAATTTCATCTAATTCTCTTTGTCAGTTTAGGGGATTATTGCCTGACCCTCTGAAGTCCCATTCAGGAAATCCTTTCCTGTGCCCATATCTTGTTTTCTCACAGCAGTTTCAAAGTCATCCAATTTTCTTAGCACTGTTTACTCAAGAGACATACACACACACAGCACACAGAAATAAAAATGACTCATTTATTAAAAAGACTTTTTTTTTTACTTTTTTCTATAAAAATTCGACTTCGTTACTTCCCAGACAGCATCAGATTCTGTTACTGTGACTCTGTAATAGAATTTGAAGTATTGCATTGTCTCTGGCATTTCACTGTCTAATAAGAATTGTTTTAAATATCTAAGGCCATTTGCGCATCCATATGAATTTTAGTTCCATGAAGAATGCCACTGCGATTTTGATGGGAATTTCTGTAAATCTGTAGATTGCTTCTAGTGATCTTGCTATCTTTATTGTTAATTCTGGCCATCTATGCACACAGAAGGGGGTTCTTTCTATCTTCTACCTTTCTATCTTCTATCTTCTATCTTTCTATCTTAAACGTTTTCATTATGAAGAAACTATAAATTTATTCCTAGATATTTTTTTAAAGCCGTCATAAGACATTTTCCCCTTACTTCCTACTTGGAACATTCACTATTGATATCCAAAATAGCTACTGACCTCAGTATTGTGAGCAGTTGGTAATTTTCTGTGGTGCTGTCTGCTCTAAAGAGAAACTTCTTTGATAAGGAGTGTGAGCTTCACTTATCCGTGAGCGTGAGGGTGAGTACTTAAAATGCAGTTAGGAATTATGCTGTGCAGTAAAGCAACAGGAGTAGCTTCTCCTCTAAGACTCATGACTCCACTAACCCCAGATACTTAGCTAAGCGTTCAATATCAGGCATGATTTCCCTCCTGTAGGGGTATCTTTCAGGGCTGGTCATTGTTATGGTCCATAGGCATCACAGACAGGAAGGACTATAGATTGCCCTCCTATTTGGGCAGCTTACATATTTAGCACTTGCTAGTACCATGAAAGCTAATCCTCAGAGAACAGCCTTTCGGGTCAGACCCAGCTTGAATCTTCTAAGTACATGGTCTTTGGCAGTAGGAGATGACCTTCAACCTACAGAAGGCAACCAAGGGCAACAACAATAGCCTATGTTATTTGGGGAGTCTCTTGGAGGCTACGATCAACTACTCAAAAAAGAGGTTTCTCATAGCAGGTGCCGGGGCTTTTGCTAGATGGCCTGTGGCTCATGAGGGGGGACAGTGGCTGGTCCAGTGGCCTTTTTCAAGCATTCTTAGTGTTATTACTCCTCCCTTCCACTCTTCCTGTAATGACTTCTCTCCCCCTTCCCAAATAAGCTGCCCTCCATATTTTCCTATTTTCCCGATCGTATCTTGCTAGTCTCCTCTCACCACACAGGGTCTAGAAACATCCTTAGGGGACTGGAGAGATGGCTCAGAGGTTAAGAACACTCACTGTTCTTCCAAACGTCCTGAGTTCAATTCCCAGCAACCACATGGTGGCTCATAACCATCTATAGTAAGATCTGGTGTGCATGCAGAATGTTGTATAAATAATAGATCGGAAGGAAGGAAGGAAGGAAGGAAGGAAGGAAGGAAGGAAGGAAGGAAGGAAAGAAGAAAGAAAAAGAAAGAAAAGATACTTAGTTACAGTCTATCAGTGACCACAGCTGAAAATGGCAAATTACTGTAGCATGAGCTATAAAGTAAAAAAATTCTTCAAAGTATGAAAATAGTTATGAATGTGATACAGGAAGGAGATGGGAAAAGAGAGACAGGAGAAGCCTAGTTAAATAGATGGAAAGGGGGAGACGTGGAAAAGAATGTTATAAGTAGCAAAAGAATACAAGTTGTGACTCAAAATGAAAGAAAAATTTTAAAAGTTCTCCCCATAGTGAAAGAGTCTGAAATTAGATCACTGTAAGAGGGGAAACGAAAAACGAAATTTAAACACATTACTTTGTAAAGGCCAATAAGGTAAAATCAAAATATTACTCAACATAGAGGAATGGCGTAGGAAGAAAACAAGGAGAGGGACAGAAAGGAAAACACATAAGAAAGATACATAAATAAAAATTAGATGGATATAAATAAATAAAATATAGTAAATAAAAATGTGCTAAATATGGAGGGAGAGAGAGAAGAGGTGGGTATCAGTTTATCTCCTTTTAGGGCCCTCAAACTGGGAACTACGAGTACGCACAGAGGGGGCCGATAAAACTGTGACCTCTCACCTATCCTCTGGTTTATGTGGACATGCGACTGATATTGCCCAGAGCTTTCTTCAGAGGGAGGCACTCTCCTTCCTTGCATATGAGGGTGTCTGCCGGCCACATTTGGGTTTGCAGGATATGAGATAGGTATGCTCTTCCATCTGGGGTAGGTGCTTTAGCTGGGGAAGGGAGGGTTATTTATTAAGAAGCAACTAGAACACAGGGGACGTGCTTTTGTACTTTTGGAAGTTCAATGGTTGGGGCTCTACAGAACAGGTGGCTTCAGAATTTGATCTAACCCCTGACTTCAGACGCAGTTTCCATCAGACCTAAGGGTAAGCCTGAGTGGGTGAGTGTCTCCCTTCATGCACTTCCCGCCCTGAGACAGCCCCCTCCTTAGCAGCTGAGCCTTCCTTTCCCAAGCCAAGCCAAACTAAAGCTCCATGATCTTTAAATGTTCCCCACACTCAGGAGCCCAAGGATATAGCTCACTCTTTAACACTAAACTCATGCTCAAGATGACATTCGGCTGCTGTCCTCGTAGTTACAGTATGGCAAGATGGGATTTGTCTCCACTGCTGACCCAGCTGCTAGGCAAATTTTCTGTCTCACCACAATCCACTGGTTTTCACTCTCACGGATGTTGTGGGCTTATCCTGGGGGGAAATCACTCCCAGCCTTTATCTATCTTACCTTTTGGAAGCTGTGACTGAGTCTCCTCCCATCTACCAGGTTCTGTGTCACCTTATTCTGTACCACACAGTTTTGTTTCTTTCGCTTCATGGATTTCCTAAGCTTTTCCTCTATTTCTTTTAAGGATAAAGTCTCTTTATTCTTACTTTTACCCTCTCCTTCACAGATCTATACAAAGACAACCTTTAGCCTGCCATCTTACCTAGAAGTCCACAGCTCAGCTTTCTATAATCCTGCCCCCCACTTTCTATTACCACTGGGATACTATTTGTGTATTATGTGCCATGATAAATGACAAAATGATGTTCAGAAAGATGACAAAGGTTGCCCCAGGTCGCAGAGCTAGTAATTGATAAACCCAGGGGTGTAAAAGCTGGCCTCTCTACGTCCCAGGCATGTACTCTTAACATGTCCATCATAGGACATGCAGAAATGTGACTCATGATGGCATGTTCCCTGCCTGCAGTGCTATGTCAACCTGCTATTCTGGTACCAGTTCTTCTGTGGTTTCTCCGGCTCCACCATGATCGATTATTGGCAGATGATATTCTTCAATCTCTTCTTCACGTCCTTGCCTCCCATCATCTTTGGAATTCTCGATAAAGATGTCTCTGCAGAAACACTCCTGGCATTGCCTGAATTATACAAGAGTGGCCAGAACTCTGAGGTGAGGAACTCCAGGAGCCATGGGGACACAGCTCCAGATTTCTCCCTGACCTCTGACAGTTCCCTGCAGGTCAAAGAAAGCATATTGGGCTACTGGTCAGGAACTCTACTGTCCAGCCACAATTCTGTCTCTTAACCTCCTGTGTGACTTTAGGTGATGCTGACCTGTTTTAAACTTGCTGCTAAGAATGTTAAATAAGCCTACTAAGTGTATTTTAATAACATCTTAATTATATCACATGTCAAATGCCATAGCTCAAGTGGGGAGTACATGTGATAGGATCCCAACCCTCCAGGATGTGAAGTACAGCAAATTCAACCTCCAAGACCAGTTTACAAGTCCATTTTCTGTTCCTCTAACAAAACACAAAGGGCTGTGTAATGCCACAAAAGATTTTATTTATCTCATAGTTTTGATGCTAAAAGTCTGAAAACAGGCAACTCTGTGACACCAGCCTTAATCCCATCCAGAAAAGCATTTTCCCAAATGAGCAAACCTCCTTCCTCTAGGCACCTCTAGGTCTTAAACATGACCACACTGAGGATCAAGCTTTCAACATAAGATCCCTTGAGGATACGCTCAAGTGGCATCTAAACCATAGCTCCTGGTTTGAGGTTCCCTATGACTAACAGCTAGTTTCCTTCTCATTAGTAAGGCACTCAGTGAATGCTTCTGTTTCACTCTAAGGAAGGCAGAACTAGACCTCAAGATTATAACAGAGGTTAAAACTAGTTTTATCACGTAAACCTAAGGAAGCTTAGAAGTCACCAAGTAGGTTTCTAGAAAGGCTGTACTGAAGCCTTTGAACAGTTGAAAGAAACAGTCCAAGGGGTGGGACTAGCCAAGGCACAGACAAGAAGGCTGGATGGAAGAGATGGGCATAACATTGGCTGCTTCCAGGGGAGTTGTAAGAAAAGAGCTTTGAAACACCCAAGAGTACAGTACGTGCCTTGGCCCCTGATGTGAAGAAGAACAAAGCAATAGGTGGTGTTTTAGAGCCATTGGTTACTTTGTGGACAGCCAAAGAATCAAACCAAGCCCTAACCCAGAGTCAGAGGAGAAAGAAATACAGCAGCCCTAGCAGCCAAAAAGAAGGGAAGGGACGCAGCCCATCTCAGGCTCTTCTAACTTTACTCTCCCCACAGCCATGCTGGCTACAGAATATAGTCCTTGAGTATCTGTCATTTTTTTTAAAGTATAATAAACTATGTTCCCTTTTCCTCAAGAAGGGAAAAAAAGCGAAGCACAGATGAGAAATCTTGTCTTGAAAGGGTTGATCTCTGACTCTTGGGAGCATTGATCCTGTCTATGAATGAGCTCTCCTTCTCAGACGACACTTAGCGAATCCAGAATAGCAGTAGGAGTGACAGCTAATGCATGGCATTGTCAGTGAAATTGACAGCACTTCTTAGATACCAAAGCACCGTTGCATTTAGTTCCCTTGAACTCCATATTTTATGGGAAAAGAAAGCATTTCCCAGAGAAGATTCATAATTTCCGCAAAATAATGTGTGCCTGTGTGTATGTATGTGTGTGTGTGACAGAGCTATATAACACTGTTCATTTGTAGCTAAGGTATGCAAAGTATCATATTGTCAAGCCCAGCCACACACAAGGAAAGTACTTGCAAAGACCAGAGGCTTGCCAGGATGCTGAGCTATTGGTATGTTCTTCCCTGCAGTGCTACAACCTACCTATGTTCTGGATGTCCATGGCTGATGCATTCTACCAGAGTCTCGTCTGTTTCTTTATTCCTTACCTGGTAAGTCACATGGTCACATCATAGACATACAAGTCACAATGGGAAACTCATCTTCATTGCCCAAAATCAAGGCTAATGGTGTCTTTTTTCATACATCATGGCAGAGATTACAAATTAGTAGCTGGGTGCATCCGACCTGGCTGTGCAAATTTTCATTTCTAATAGCTTTTGAAAAACCAAAAGATGTCCTTACATCTATTCTTCTCATGGGAAAACAATCCGGAGTTGGTTCATGGCCTTGCTTAGATATGGGGTTATGTTGTCAGAAATCACGTTGTCTGATTTCCGCCTTCTCGTCTTACAGCAGCGGTCCCTTCTCTGTGCATGTCATGTGCTGTTTACTATCACCACTAAATTATATCATGTTTGTAATTCTCCCGTCTTCTGAAGTGAACTACAAAGGATTTGGCCCAGCTTCCCAAAGGAAAGAGGCACAATGGGCAAGATGACATCGTATGTGCCTTATTCTCTGAAGTTCCTGACCAAGAACCAAAAAGCATCTATTTTAGTTAAGCTTCCCGTTGCTGTGGGGGGAAAAAAAGTGACCAAAATTAACTTAGAGAAGAAAGGGTTTATTCAGCATGACAGTTCAAAATCATAGTCTGTCTTGAGGGAAGTCAGGTAGGGCCTTGAGGCAGAAACATAAAGGAAGGAAGTGAAGCTGAGACAGAGGCATGCTGCTCACTGGCTTGCTCCTCAAATTGCTTGATCAGCCTGCTGGCACCAGGTACCTCCAACCCAGGAATAGCACCCTCCCACATCAACCATTAGTCAAGACAGTACCCCACAGACTTGCCGACAGGCCAGTCTTATGAAGGCATTTTCTCAACTAGGATTCTGTCTTCCCAGATATATCTAGGTTCACATTAATCTGACAAAAACCATCACACTGCCTACTCCTAGACTCACCCTCTGTCTGGAATACAATTCCCTTTTATAATCTGGTCTCAGCTGAGAATGTCTCTACTGTGCTCCCATGGTGTCTGGTCCTTACAACACTCACTCATCCTCTTACAGTATTCCATCACCTGCCCTGCCTCATAGACCATAGACTCCTTAAACACTCCTTACACACATACCCTCAGCAATTAGTGCAGTGCCTGGGAAAGGCTCAAGAAAACCTTTGTTTACCCATTGCACAGTCGTTTCCCAGCCTTTACCAGAGCAAAGATGTTCCTAAGCAATTGAATCCCACCCACTCATTTCTTATCTTGTCACTTTCTTGAATCAACCTCGTCTTTTCCCCCATCTCTCTTCACCATGTTTTTTCCCATCCCTTGACTCCTGGCGTCATTGTATTGAAAGCATACCCTTAAATCCGCGCATGACCAGGAATGCCTACTTGACACTGCCTGTTTGCTCTTCCTCCTTAGACTTATAGAGGTTCTGATATAGATGTCTTTACTTTTGGAATGCCAATCAACACCATCTCCCTCACCACCATCCTCTTGCACCAGGCAATGGAAATGAAGACATGGGTAAGGAACCCACAGGCCATTGAGCTTTAAAATCATGTTCTTGTTCATTGGATGCACTCAAATTTCTGAATTCTTTTACTATATATAATTGATGTAGCTCAGTAAATTCATGCATTTCTCATTGTGACCTGTAAAGCAGCGGAACTGGCATTGTTGGCCTCAGTATCCAGCTATGATGACAACATTAACACACATAAATCACTAAGATAGTTCCAAAACCAGATCTATGCTGATGAAAAATTCAGGAGCACTGCAGAGCGAGGAAAGGCTAGCCTGAATACAGCTGAAGCTGTATACATGAAACTATTTTCTATTTAACTTAATTACCACATATCAAGCATTTTTCAAGTATCATATTTTGGCATCTTAATTATAAAAAGCAGGCTGCGGAGGAGGCTCAGTCAATAAGGTGAGGTCCTGAGTTTCATACCTAGCACCTGAATAAAAGCCAAACATGGCGGTGTATAACTGCAGTCCCAGTGCCAGGAAAGCAGAGATAGGAGGATCCCTGGAGATGGTTGGCTATCCAGTCTAGCTGAATCAGTGAGCCCCGTGTTCAATGAAAGACCCTGTTCCAAAATATAAAATGGAGTCTGAGAAAAACAGACACCAAAATCAACCTCTAACTTTATACATATACACACACATACAACGAAAGAACTATCTTTCTGAGTTTCACTCATCAATAACTCTAAAGAGCTCAAAATTATATTCCAGGTTTTGACCTACATTATTTGCATGCATTGCCTCATTTAACTTCACTATGCCCTTGCTGTTAGATTTATTTTTTATATTCCCATTTTACAGATTTAGGAACAGATATAGCAAGACTAAGAAACTGGCTCCAAGCAGCTCATAGAAGTGAGTTTTTGAACCCTAGCACTCTGATCCCTGTGCTTTTAACTACTTTGCAAACCACACGAAGACATAAGATTTAGTGGCATGTGGAGCTCACAGTACAGAAAGATCTTCCCATAGTCATGTTGAAATGACTGTTTCTGAGAGCACATGCACTAGAAATTTAAAAATGCTCCCAAGTAGGCTCAATGCATGTGTACATTCTGCAATGAAACTTTCCACCTCGGCCACAACCATCATCACAGGCTACAGTCAGAGGACAAAAAGAGGTACCAGAAGAACTGCTGGGTCTGAGAGGTTTCATCATGGAAGTCTTATTCTTTAATGTTTGCTAGTGACAACAAAGTGATAAACCTGGCTGTGCTTCCTTTGGTGTGCATTCATGGTAAGTTTCTTGATGGGTCACGAGTACCAGAAGAGGCTACAAAGCAATGGAAAAGAGGTCAAGTATAACATGCTTTCTAGGAGGCAGGACACAGACTTACCAGAAGGGAGTCTGGCTCTTTTATATTAGGGGAGTTGAGGGCTCCATTTATTGCTGATTCAATTGTGTTTACCCTACAAAACAAGCTATGGAAAATATGGTATTGACAAGCTTCTGGGGTATAGTTATATCAGAAACAGTGAGTGAAGGATGTAAGAGTCAAAGACATGACTTTGATATTATAATGGAGCCCAGCTCAGGAAACTTTCAGAACTCCCCAAAATGAAAACATGTTATTGAAATTGAAGGTACAATCTGTGGAATGCATTCTAGATCAGAACACATGAAGAGAGAGAGAGAGAGAGGAAGGAAGGAAAGAAAGAAAGAAAGAGAGAAAGAAAGAAGGAAGGAAGGAAAGAAAAGTAAGAGAAAAGTACCAAATTGGGAGGTAAAATTGGAGACTCATCTAGGATGACACACATGTAATAAAAATTTATTAAAATGAATGGTGATTAGGAAAAATGGCTCCAGTGTTCATACCAAAGGAGTCACAATGTAAAAAGAAGAGGGGGAAAGTAAATAAGCAATATTTGAAGAACTCAACATTCAGAATTAAAATTAGTCAAAATAGATATGGCTACACCACTTAAATGTGAATAGTAAAACTGTACAAGACCAAAAAAGACACAGATATAGTCTTAAGATCTTCTAGTGATTTTGAGAAGTTCCAGTGTAAATCTTCCTGGTTCTTGCCTAGAGGACCAAAGCAAAAGCTGCTCAAAAACAAAGGCTTAATTATCTTCAAAGACCTGAAGGGTAACAACTGAAACAGCAGTGAGTATGCATGGCCCATTAATGTATATAATTAATCCATGTTTATTTTGCTTTTTAAAGTTAATGTCATTTCAAATAAACTATGAGGTTTATCATTCACTAAAAAAAAAAGGAACATAATTAATTCGGCAAGAATATTCTAAAACAATAGGTAATTGATTTAACTAAGAAAACAGAAATATTTCACTGTTCATTTTTTTCCATAGGTATTCTCATTTTTCAGTATCTTTAACTTTAGCTTAATCACTAAATATCACATGAAGTAAACAAAAAAAATCATGGTGAACAATAACCTCTTGCTAAGTGACAAAAAAAAAAAAACAACATGGCATAGGGTTTTCTTTAAGGTTAAAAAAATCAATATGAGAACAAAGGTGAGCTCCACAGAATTCCAGTAAAACTACAATCTAGCAAAGCTGCCTGAGGGGAAGACACGAAACCACAGTAGGAATGAAGATGATAATTGGTGTTTAAGCATAAAGTTTACCAAAGCATAGTCAAGACAACTCAACAAATAAAAATAACCTAAATCCTGTCCACAGAAACACGAGCTCCACAGGATTATACAGTGAGTTTGATCAAACTTAACACATCATTTTTATCTTTTACTATTTTTTTTCATGGACTAGAAAATAAGAAAGGAGACTTGTCTTAGACTATTTGGGATACTATAACAAAGTATCTGTTTATATCCAAAACTTGTAAACAGTAGGACTTTCTCAGGTTTCTGGAAGTCCGAGATGGAGGCACAAATAGTTGGCGTTGAGGACAGGAAGTTGGGGAGGGCCTATGGTCTAACTCCTCTATTTCCAAGATGTCTTACTTTGTGGAGAGATCTCTCTAGGGGAGGGAGCCAAAAGTGGACGCTATGTGCTTATATTGTAATGGCAAAAGATTCTCCCCCTCTGGCATCTTTTATAAACCCATTCTTTGTCCAAGCCCTTGAGACTCAATCGCTTTCCCAAAACTTCCTACCTCCTCTGGTCTCACACAGAACCTTAGATGGCCACACAGAAACCTTAAGGAACGCCTGCATTCAAATGACAATCATCTATATTCCATGGCTAGAGTAATTTTGGTGCCCCATGAGCACAGCCAATCCAAGGATAGAAAATCATGTAACTGAAACATTCTGTTTTGGTAAATCTTCTCACCCGAACGTCAATGGTGAAGAAGGACAGCCACGGAACTTTCTTACCCTATTAGCAGACTGTAAACTGATGAGAGACCCCGAGCAGCAATTCCTAACCTGTGGAGCATGACCACATTGGGGGGTTGAGTGGCTTTTTCTCAGGGATCACCTAAGACCATTGGAATAGGGTTTTCTTTAAGGTTAAAAAAATCAATATGAGAACAAAGGTGAGCTCCACAGAATTCCAGTAAAACTACAATCTAGCAAAGCTGCCTGAGGGGAAGACACGAAACCACAGTAGGAATGAAGATGATAATTGGTGTTTAAGCATAAAGTTTACCAAAGCATAGTCAAGACAACTCAACAAATACAAATAATCTAAATCCTGTCCACAGAAACACCAGCTCCACAGGATTATACAGTGAGTTTGATCAAACTTAACACATCATTTTTATCTTTTACTATTTTTTTTCATGGACTAGAAAATGTACACTACGACTCATAACAGTAGCAAAATTCCAGTTATACAGTAGCAACAAAAATAACTTTATGGTTGAAGAATGCCGCAACATGAGGAACTGTGCTAAAGGGTCAAGGCATTAGGAAAGTTGAGAACCGCTGCTGTAGAGGGTGATTTTTTTTTAAACAATTGGAAGGGTTTAAAGTACCCTCAAGATGGGATATTCTCCCAACACAGCTGCAGGGTTAAATAACCCATTCTCTGTGCTACCCTGCCAGGCACAGCACGTGGGCGTTAGGTAGAATCTGAAGCATTTGCAACTTACGCCGTTTCCTACTTACAACTGGTTTATAAGGCATAACTCTTTTATGAAAGTCAAGGTGCTTCTATACTTAAAAATGAACAAGCTAGAAGTATATCATCTGCATAGACATGGCTCCCAAATAGAATGCTGAGTGAAAGAAAATGCAGTTACCTTAGTCTGCTTGGGGGTGGGGAGGGTCATAACAAATGCTGTAGGTGGTGTGGCTAATACTCAGGGAAACGCTGTGTAATATCGTTCTTAAGGTTACAAGTCCAAAGTCAGCATCCTGGCCCAAGCATTGTCTGGGGAAAGCCTTCATTCCAGGTTTTAGACAACTGTCTTTTATTGCACATCTTGAGAAGGAAGAGAGGTATGTCTTTTATTGCACAAGAGAAAGGTGTCTTTTCTCTTGTGTCTCTTCTTATGAGAGCACTAAGTCTATTCCCAAGTACTATCCGTTGAAAAATAAAGCTTCACCATATAGATTGAGGAGTAAACAGAAACATCAATTCGAACAAACAACTGGCTTTATATATATATATATATATATATATATATATATATATAAAGATATAAAGATAGACTACATCCATAAACATGTATAAAACTTTCCTAAAAATGATGAATGCTAAAATTAAACTCAAGAATAGTCAGGCCGTTTAGAAGAAATATATGGTTTAATTGTATTTATAAAGCTTAGTATACTTGAAATATTCATCTCAAATTCTACTATCTAGGATGCTCTTAACCATTACATTTTTTTAAAGAGAATTTTAAAAGCTGAGTCAGTGTTCACAACCCAGCTAGGTAGAGCAATATGTATAGTTGATCCATTAAGTTGCTCGTTTTGCATTTGATGTGGGCCTCTTCAGAATGGTTTAAAACAAAGGTTAACTCAGCTGTGTGCATTTTGCTGCCCCATAACCTGATGAGAATCTCCAACAGCATCTTGTTTGTCTTCTCCACAGACTGTCCTCCATGGCCTTGTCCTCCTCGGCAGCTTCTTGATGTACTTCGTGGTTTCCCTCATATACAACGCCACCTGTGTCACCTGTAACAGCCCCACCAACCCCTACTGGGTGATGGAAAGGCAGCTCTCAGATCCCACATTCTACCTCATCTGCCTCCTCACACCAGTTGTGGCTCTTCTACCAAGGTTTGAGCTCTTGGGCAATGCTCTTCAAAATCCCCAGTCTCCCCTAAGTCCCCTTAGCCCAAGTATATAAGCTACACCTCTCACTGCTGTGAAGAAACTTCTGACGAAATCAACGTAAGAAAGCAGGGGTTTGTTTCAGCTCCTAGTTCGAAGATAAAGTCAATCCTGGCAGCCCATCGTATTGGGCTCAGAAAGCACACACACATGAATGCTGGAGCTCAGCTCACTTTCTCTGCATAGCCCAGGACCCCAGCCCACATCCAAGGTGGTTCTTCCCTCTTCTGCTAAACCTTTCTAGAAACACCCACGCAGGGAGACCCAGAGGTGTGTTTCCATAAAAACTATAAATCATTCAAGTTGACTGGAGCCTTGAGATTGTTGTCCAGAGAGAAAGTGCTAGGATAAAAGAACAATAAGCCAGAGGGTTTATATTATGGACCCTGGTCCCATGTTGGCCATAGGAAAGCAAAATGGCCTCCGTTGTGACATGTAATGTGTGAGCCGTCATTCTACCTCCCTGGCTTATAAATTTTGTTGTGTGGTAAGGGAGTACTTTTTTTTAAAGCTCCCTAATCTTTTTCTTTTAGTTGGGGAGTCTTGTGCCTCTGTGCCTGCAGGTAAGGCAGCAGTCCCAGCAAGCCCCACACAGTGCACATAGAAAGAACTTCCTGTCACCACAGAAAAGTTCTGTGAAGCAGAACTTCAGATTCCTCTCAGAAATTTTTAATATCACTTAAGTTTAAAACACATGTGTAGCATTTTTTAAAAAGCTCTGTTATCCAGATAAATCATTCATGCCCACGTGCTATTTTCTGACGCTTCCAACCTAAAAGCTTCAGCTTTCATGTTTTCAAAGAAAATACCGTCAGTAATAGTGCTTCTCTGTGCTACTCCTCTCATGTTTGATATACACTGTGTAACCTCAAAGCTTCTTCCTTCTATCAGCCAACTGTTAGGCAAAGGTTCTAGTCCTTGAAACCGCTGAATGCCCAAGAAAGTATCCAGATGGTCCCATATTTCCAATACAAACCACAGTGGGAGCAATGTTCTCCTAATGCAAAAGCCAGGGTTCTACTCTCCAGCCCCCACGCTCCAGTCAGAAAAATGGGTACAGTTCATAACAAAATTTTTTTAGGTCAAATTTAGACTTTCTCTTGCCTCGTGATCTCATCATCTTGCACATCAGAACTGAGGCAGCTATCACTGCAAGTTAATACATCGGCGCTGGCAACAGTGTGCAGAACTGTTTCTGCCCTGCAGTAGGTGGAGGGCCGTTAGCAACCTTGCTTCATCCACCTTTGTCACCTTCCTAAGACATCTCAGGACCATGACTTCTGGTAGAGTTGGAAAGTGAAAATACTACACTGGCAAATAGTATAGAGGTTAGCAAATGTCACAGACCTGAGTTCTGAATGGGGCCTCCCACCTTGACTCCTACAGCTTTACAGCTCATCTCCGCACAACCTGCTTCAAATTCGGGGATCGTTAATGTGCTTAGACACTCTAATGGCCCCATACCCTCTCACTTATAGGTTGCTTCTTCCTCCACCAAAGCTCTTTACCCTTTGAACTCATGACAGCACAACCATTTTCAGAAGTTCTATGGTGGCCCCTACCTTCCTTGGAGTGTAGGAAATATCTGCTATTCCCACCAATTGTGTGAATATCTGTTACTGGCAATTTTCCCATCATTCAAATTATGTTCATCTCTTCTGAAGGCAGGATGAGAAGACCTCTTTGTCTTTATTCAGCCATCATGTAGCAGTTGTTGTCACGTGATCTGTGCTCTGAAATGAATGAGCAGTGGATACTAGACAATCAGAAAGATGAATAGAACAGGATTCTTGCTTCTCACAAGTTGTCATGCAGCAGCTGCACTGTACATAAGTCTGTCATACAGGTTTGAAAGTGCCTGATCTCTACAGGCTCCTCAGAGTGTAGAATAAGCAAAAATTAAGAAAAAGTACAGGCCTCAAGAATTCAGTTCCCACCCACCCCTTCTTCCATGCAACCCTGGGGTCAAAAAGCCTGAGAAGGTCTGGAAGGATCACATCCTTGTTGGGAAAATTCCATCAGAGATGTAAGGGTTTGGGGTGGGGGCTGCGGGGATGTTGTTTTTTATGCGTATGTGCAACCTGTACCTGTGAAAGCCAGAAGAGGGATGTCAGATGCCTGAAGATAGAGTTACAGATGGTTGTGGGCCAGCTGGTATGGATGCTAGGAACTAAATTCGGGTCCTCTAGAAAAGTATAGAGCACTCTTTAACGACCGAGCTTCCTCTCCAGCCCCATAATTAGATTTTTTGTTGTTGTTGTTCCTCTGATTTTGAGGTTAAGCCAGAGCTTAACACAGCCAGAGAGCTTCTCTATTCCACATCCCTTTTGGAAACTAGAAAGAAATTCATAAGTCCAGTGTTTTTTCATTGAAAAATGACTGGAGCCAGAGTCTTACAGAGTTACAGCAGCAGCTTAAGAAAGGCCTTTGAAACATGTGCGAGAACTGTTGACACACATGGAAGGAACAGATGGGCATTAGCTTGATGGCGTGCTGAACAGATGAGTTTGGGAAGCATTAGCAAATATGTACTTGCTAGTGACCATGGTATACGGGCCAAATCTTTGCTTATTCTATGTTATCAGCACAAAGTTGAATTCTCATTTAATTCTATTTACTAAGGTCAAAGGGATTTCTTCTGGTAATGGAGGGATTATTCTAATAGTTGTAAAGATTCCTGACTTACAACCTTGGCATAATTATTGTTTATTTATAGAAATCCACATGATAGAATGTTTGCCGTAGAAAACTTTTCCTGGCTTCAAGTTAAAGTCACATTGCTCATAATACGAATTGATCTTACTCCCCAATCTTGTGATAGGTAGGACCACTAATCTTAGTCTAGTTAAGTTACTCAAGTCAAAAGGACATTACAAATTCCCTTCAACTAGAGCAGAGATCTATGAAAAACTATCTTACAGATTTAAAAACAGAACAATACACCAAGCTTAAGGCCCAGAGCAACCTCTAAATCTTTTTCCCTAGTTGTAGTGAATAGTAACAGTGTTTGGGCCTCTTCCCTTGACTTCTATGACATAGGCTTAGACTCTTCCCTCTTCTCTTTCTTTCCTTTGCCACTCACAGGCTGGATAACAGAGTAAGTGGCAAGTCTTCATCCCAGGTTCTCTGCTCTCCTAATTTTATATTTTTTTCTCCATGGACACAGGAATCACTGTTCTGAATTGAAAATCTTTTTGAACAGATGCTTCCCACCACAGGCCCCTCCTTGATTCCAGCTGCATTTCTCTAGCTCATTCCTCAACTGCACTGTGCATATTTAGTCTACAGAAAACAGAGAGCACCCATAACGTTGTTTATGATTCACCATCCAAACCTTTAGAGTTCCCTTCAGCTAGTGCCAGGGCCCAGATCACCCACTGGCCATTATCCTTGCTATCCCCTGGGGCTGTGTATCTATATGCACAGAAGCAAGTCACCACCTCTGCCTGTGGTATCTTTCTGCAATTTCCGTTTCTACAGATGACATCATAAACAGGCCACTTACCTCACACCCCAAATTATACAATTTGTCTCCTACTAGGGCTTTTCCCACTATCAGTTACTAACTCATCAAAGTCTGATCTGACATGCATTTGTCAGTCACCAAAAAAAAAAAAAAAAAAAAAATCTTCCCTGGGCCTCTATAATAAAATGCAAAACCAAAACCATGGTCCACAGTCCCTGTCTACTCTGGTCCTTCCATCCCCATCTAGGATCTATCTGTCACTGTCACTTCAGCCTGAGTTTTGTGGCTCACCCAGGTACCTGAATGTGCAAAACCTCAATCCTCAGCCCAAGTGCCTCTTCAAGGATGGTCTTCAGATGAGACCAACCTTCTTTCTGTCTATCAGCAACCATGCTCTCCTGCAGTAGGAGAGTAGAAGTTCTCTCTTGTTGAAAGCTTAATCCTGTAAGACATGACTAGTGTGGGGAAACTGGCACAGTTTGTTGACTGAAGGATGGAGGAGAAAGGTGGCATCCTGGAGGAGAGATTTAGACTACGGAAATTTCAGTTCCCAGGCAAGGAGTCCACTCTTTCCTGAAGCATATACATGGCCCTATTCACTCACTGGTGAGGTTAAAATAAGGCAAAATTTATCTGAGCTGGAAGAATCTACTAGTCTTCAAAAAACCCTTGGCCGCTGTGGGTTCATTATGCAACTTTCAAATACAATAGAATTAGAGATATTCTCTTAAGAGGCTTTAAAATTAGCATTGTAAATGTCCTCTAGGCCAGGTGAACTGCTCTTTAGATAACACTCAGAAAGGAGAATGTGGGTGGCCTGTGATAACAGATAACCGTATACTTAACCTTCTCACCCTTCTACCTGGCTAAATTTGGATCCAGAAGATGAATTTAGAGTTTCCTGAAGGCTGTACGCAGCTTGGCAGGAAGAAGGCCAGGCAAAGTGAGTTACAGATCTCAGGCCTTTTCAGGAGACCTCAGAGATCTTGCCTCAGTACCTAGGGGTGTCAGTTCCTTTGGGTAAAGACTCATTATATAAAGTTCCAAAAAAAAAAAAAATCCTGACATTTGCACAGTACATTAGAGACTAGATCTAGCAGATCTATGTAGACCTAGAGCACTTGGATCTAACCATAGCTTGACATTGGACAAACCCCTGAATTAGTTTCCACCTCTGTACACAAAAGGAAACAAAAGTATAGTTATGAAGTATATACCTATACTATACTATAAAAGTAGAGTGTGTTCCTCAGACATGCTAAGAAATGAGAAACACAGCATCAGATAATTCCATTAGAGTACAAGCATCACAAAATACACTCACATTAACTAAGGCGGCAATGTCCTCAGGTGATCGAAGCATGTGTGCCTATCACTGGTCAAAGACAACCTCATGGCCCTTGACTGTACCAGGCACATGGATTTCTTTTTGAAAGAATGACTCAGTAATCAGCAAAGCTCTTCAAACGTCCTAATAGAGAATGAGCCTTAACTGTTATATTTTGATGATGTTATCACGCTTCCTCCCCACCACCAGAGGCAGCCACACGTAGCTTTGAGGAAGATCACAGAAAGTCCAATAAAGATGATCTCTGAAAAGTTAGGTTCCGGGATTCCATTCAGTGCTGAAATTTTAAGAAGTCAACAACTGTTAAGAAAAGTATCTGCTCAGGACCCCCAAGACCAAGTTCTTTGTACAAAGGAGATTTATTTACCTCAGAGGGACAGAGGGACAGAAATAGGAGACAAAGACAGGAGAGAGAAGACAAGGGAGGAGGGGAAGGGAACAGGGAAAGGTTGTTTGTCCCATGTTGGGATGAGGTGTTTAATTTTAATTGGGCATGTTAATTAGGTGAGCCAAAGGAGGCTTTTGATTGCTGGATTTGAATACTTTGATAGCAGGGCCTTGGTAATCAGGGAGGAGGAAGTGGCCAAATAAGGGAATAGACCTTGGTGGCTAGCTTTAGGAATGTAATCTAATGGTTTTTAATGAAGGCCAGCCAGAGCCAGGCTTGCCACACTCAAGCTCACCCGAATCCCTTCAACAACAATCCAAAAACTGTTTTGTTTTGTTTTGTGTTTTTTAACTAGGTACTTTCTTCTGTCTCTACAAGGGACATGTGGAAAGTCTCTAATCTCGAAAGCTCAGAAAATTGACAAGCTGCCCATAGACAAAAGAAACCTCGAGATCGAGAACTGGAGAAGTAAACAGAGGCCTGCCCCTGCCTCTGCTTCTGCCTCTGCCTCTGCCTCTGCCTCTGCCTCTGCCTCTGCCTCTGCTCCTGCTGCTGGCACTGTCCACACTCAACCACCATGCCGCGCAGCACCACCTGAAGCACAGCAGGACTTCAGAACCAGTGCCTCAAAGAGCCCTAGCTCTCCCAGGCAGAAACATGTGGAAGACTGGATTCTCCAGGGTCCAAGGAGCAGCAAAGAGCACTCGAGAGATGACGCATGCTCAGGAGACACCTTGGCTAAACTCTCGTCTGGGGAATGCCTTCTGGGCCCAAACAGGACAATGGCTCCCGCAGCCTATGCCAGGGGCCAGAAGGATGTGTCTCGCCACTCAAGCAAAGGCAGCCATCGCCGGTCTCAGAGTTCACTGACCATATGAGGGGGCTATAGAAATCAGAGATGGATACAAACTCAAGCCCAATCACTGAGCAAGTGACCAAGTCCCCTTTGTTCTCTATAAGGGAATGACTGCCAGTTTTTATCAATTCTTCTCACCAGGGTTGACTTCCTTCAGGAAATGCTACCCCCAAAGGATTTGAGGAAAACTGTCAGGCCAGCTGACTACTTGCTTTCTTCTGTTGCCAGGAAGCACATCTTGAAAACAACAGTCTGGATAGAGATAGTATGATCTTACTGCATTGTGCTTTCGTAGCCAAAGAAAATCCTTAAGCCTTTCTAAGTAAGTAAAGACTATGACCTGGTGTAAGCAGACAGCAAGTATCCACAGCTCCAACCAGTATTATAAACCTTGGGAATCTATCAGACATGGAAGTTACTAGGTTTGCCAAACCATCACCTCAGGAGTTCAAGTTTCCACCCGAGGGCTTCATTTCACGATGACGACAATACCATCCCTTCTGTGCACAGAGTTGGCTCTGCTTCTTTCCTCTAGTCCAGTGGTTCCCAACCATCCTAATGCTGTGACCTTTCATACAGTTCCTTGTGTTGTGGTAACCCCTAACCATAAAATTATTTTGTTACTCCTTCATACCTGTAATTTTGCTGCTGTTAGGAATCATAAATATTGGATATGCAACCCTCAAGGAGGTGGCGACCCACAGATTGAAAACCAAAGACATCTACATCTAAAGATGAAAATGGGATTTATAAGTAGTACAATGGATACTACCAAAGACTGTGGGGTTACAGCTCATGTAAGAAACAAGAGTACACATACAAAAGGTTTTTCACTAATGGACCACATGCCCCACCTTCTAAGGAATATTCCAAAGGACACGGCATTCCCCTCATTCAACATTTACAATGGGGAAAAAAAATCAGAGATGAGAGCTTAACACAGCCTCCCTCAGGAAGAGACCCACATGACAGAGCAACTATGAATGCAAATGGACATCTTCAAGCTTCAAACCTACACTAATCAGCTTATTCCAGAACGTCACGGCCGTCACTGACCCACGATTCAGCTAAGTTAAGCAGTCATGGGGAAAAAAAATTACATCGCGTCCCTAGAAATTGTAAATGCTAAAAATGTTAAAGAACTCAAAGAAGTGTTTCTATAAAAAGCTGTCAAGAGAATCTAGGTCTGCTTTTCCAACTTTTTAAAGAGAAGTCAAGCAGTGTTCTTTGCCCCGGTCTCCCCTAAGACAGTGCCTACACACTGGGGGGGAAAAGCCCAAGGATAGCCAGTGCGTTTGTACTCACATCATCATCACCAGTCATGAGTTGGCCTGTCACTTAAGTAATTCCTCAGCGAGGATACTCAGAAAAAGCTCAACTATCAAGATGACGGTGGCAGAGTGAGCTGACTCCCTGTCCAGCGTTGGGGAAAACAAAGACTGGAGGAGCCATTTGGAGCATCATCCTCAAGTTCTGCCCTGTACTGATGCCAGCATTAGCCAGAAGGTGGGGACTTAAGTATCTTACAGAAAAAAAAGTGGTATGGTCATGCAAGAGGTAGGGGGATGAGGGTAACCAAGCAGGCATACGTTGTTTCAGAGAGATTCATCAAAGTTGGATCTCACCCCCTCTTTTTCTATGAGACTCCTGCCTGCTGCCAGTAGTCAGAAATCCCAGTAGTATATTCGAGAAAATAACAGCACTCCAGTAGATTGGAGTTTAAGTGTTTGCTCTTTCCCTGTAGTCTTTAAAGGACCTTGAAGCAGGCCACCATGCTTGCAAATTAGGTTTAAGCAGCTCTACCTCCTGGCGTAAAGAGTCCAAATTGCATGAAGTACACCGATGAGGCTTTGAAAAAGCAGGGGCAGTCCCAAGTAGGAACAGAGGGAGCCTCACTTCAGAAGGAGAAGAGGAAACAGGAAAACGGAAAGAAAATAGAACGTTCTACCCCTTACTGAAATCCACGCTCTTCCCGGCATCCTGATGCTGCTCTTTTTCTTGCCTGACTGACCCTCTCGGTTTACCTGGGATGGTCCCATTTTTAGTTTCTCACATGCTGGGGGAGCCTGGCCCAATGTGGTCACAATGTGGTCACTTACTCTGGCCATTCTTCATGAACCAAACCAACTGTGTGACTGTCTAACATGCCGCCTCACTCAGAGGGAAGCTCTGGCATTCCCTCTATAATGTAACGGTATTGATTGTGTGTAGTATATATTATGTGTGTATAATCTTTTTACTGATTGACTGGAAACATGTCATCATTTTTTTAGAAAGAAAAAAAATAAACTTGGTTTTTCCATAGTTCCCTACCAATCTGAAATTCTTATTCTTTGGATATATTATCAATCCTGGTCCTGAACATTCATCATTCATCCTTCTTTGCACTTATTCATTTATGTATCCAAGAAACTTTAGTAAGTCCCGACTAGATAACTTACAATGCAACTTGGGCTGTGAAGAACTCAATACCTAGCTTGTACCTACCTTCCCAGGGCTCAGGGCGTTAGATATATTTGACCCAGTGTGAGAGTGAAGCTCAGACTGCTCTGTGGGCGGTAAGGATTGGAAGCCGCACATCCAGCACATGGATTCAGAAAATCTCACTCAGCTGCTTCTCTCTTAACCAAAACCTAGGCTGAGTTAGGTGTCTCTCTTCATCATTCATTGTCAATGTGAGTGCGCAGAGCACAAGCATGAGGAGGTGAGTTCAAATCCCCATCCCTATATAAGAATCTGTATGTACTGAAATGTGCTTCTAACTCCAGCTCTGTGGCAGAGGGTTGAGATGGGCAGAAAGGAGAGGATCTCTGAGACTTGACAGTTGCAAACCTAGGTTCAGTGAGAGCACTTGTTTTAAGGCAAAGAGAAATAGGAGTTGGATCTCCATTCTTCTCCATCCTCCCTGCGCACACATTCCACACAGCCAAACAGAAATGTTCCCGGGGTTATGTTGTCCTAATAACTGTATTGGGTTACTGTACTGTGCGCTAGATACCGTATATTACCACCTAAACCCACTGTAGCCCTGCAAGGTAAAACTTATCTAGCTACTACAGCAGCTTCAACTGTATCACCGCTACCTCAAAGTTCCATGCATTGACCTCATCCTTACTCTGCCTAATGTAATGGAGTTGACATGTCTCTGGGACCGCCCAGCTGAAGATCTGGTGTCTTCCATCCTGCATGGTCTCTTATCCCAAGGAGGCCAGCTGAGCCTGGTCACATGGTTTTAGAATTGTAAGAGGGGGAGAAAGCTGCATGGCTTCATGAGATCTATGCTGGGAGCTTGTACACTTGCTCACCACCAGGTGCCACGGTGGTCAAAGTTGGCCTTGCTTTTACATGAGAGGCATTCTAAAGAAACTGAATGTCATCTGCAGCCATCCTTCCCCACCTAGTAGAGGGAGACAGGGAGATAAAGAAAAGTCACATAAAGACACAGCGGTCCCACAGTCAGCAAGTCTCAGGTGGTATTCTGAGAGTCTGAAAGCAGAGGCTGTGTGCTTATCCAGAGATACACGACTCCAGGTCAGACCAGAGAGCAGGCGGGGACCAAAATCAGATGACATATTTGAAAGGCAGGGTTTCACAATGGTGAGGGTGCCCGAATTTCTTCCCAAATCTGGAACAGCCTAGCAACGTGACATAAGAAAAGACCTTTCCACACCATGTCAAGTATAATACCAGCATTTAGGGGAACCTGAGCTACCCCTTGCACCGCCAAAGAATATCTCCCCTGCACCGTCAGCCACGCACCCCACCAAAAAAAAACAAAAAACAAAAAAACAAAAAACTGAGCTGAGCGCACCAAGTCAGGCTGATCCATGTGGAACTCTTTCTTCTGGAAGCCTTCTGGCGCCACCTAGCAGGATAGAAGGCGTTACTGCAACCGAGGGAGATTCAGGCTCTGGAATCCTATTGAGTCTGGCTGGAGCTAATTGGAGGCCAGATTTCAACTCTTGGTGTTGAGGTTTCCACGGTGACGCTAAACAAGATCTTTCACGTTTTTCTTTTTCCCTGAAAATATTCATCTCAGTTTCCTCAAACTCTCAAGTTGTGACCTCAGTTAGTTCTAGAAGCTATTTGGGAAGGCTGGTTATGGGGTAGCAGTGTCCTCTGACGAATCCCAAGCCTGTGGTCGACCGTTTGTGCAGCATGTCTGTATCTCATGCACACATAATCACAAAGACTGGAAAAGCCCCTAACGACACTAGCTTGCTGCTCTGCTTCTCCTGCTTGGAATATGGCATCACATGATAACACAGTGTTGCTGTCATTGTGACTCATGAGTAGGATTGGTTTTCAGGAGTTGAATGAAGCTGGGAAGGCATCAGCCCTTTGGGGGAAGGTGACCAAGCTCCACATCCTTCGGAGAACTTAGGCTGACTTTTTCAGCTCCGCAGATGTTGAGAACCTGCTGTGTAAGTGGACTCATAGTGACGGGCCAAGGTCGTCAACACTTCCAACTGTCAGGAGCGAAGCCAGAGCAA